ATGCGGCAGTGGTCGCCCTCGCCGGTGGCTGCCCCAACCTCACATCCCTCGACTTGTACAACTGCCCCAACATCACCGATGCGGCAGTGGTCGCCCTCGCCGGTGGCTGCCCCAACCTCACATCCCTCAACTTGAACAACTGCTCCAACATCACCGATGCGGCAGTGGTCGCCCTCGCCGGTGGCTGCCCCAACCTCACAACCCTCTCCTTGTACAACTGCTCCAACATCACTGATGCGGCAGTGGTCGCCCTCGCCGGTGGCTGCCCCAACCTCACAATCCTCCTCTTGGGCAACTGCTCCAACATCACTGATGCGGCAGTGGTCGCCCTCGCCGGTGGCTGCCCCAACCTCACAACCCTCTCCTTGTACAACTGCTCCAACATCACTGATGCGGCAGTGGTCGCCCTCGCCGGTGGCTGCCCCAACCTCACAACCCTCTCCTTGTACAACTGCTCCAACATCACTGATGCGGCAGTGGTCGCCCTCGCCGGTGGCTGCCCCAACCTCACAACCCTCAAGTTGTACAACTGCTCCGACATCACCGATGCGGCAGTGGTCGCCCTCGCCGGTGGCTGCCCCAACCTCACATCCCTCGACTTGTGCAACTGCTCCAACATCACCGATGCGGCAGTGGTCGCCCTCACCGGTGGCTGCCCCAACCTCACATCCCTCGACTTGTACAACTGCTCCAACATCACTGATGCGGCAGTGGTCGCCCTCGCCGGTGGCTGCCCCAACCTCACAACCCTCAACTTGTACAACTGCTCCAACATCACTGATGCGGCAGTGGTCGCCCTCGCCGGTGGCTGCCCCAACCTCACAAGCCTCAAGTTGTACAACTGCTCCAACATCACTGATGCGGCAGTAGTCGCCCTCGCTGGTGGCTGCCCCAACCTCACAATCCTCCTCTTGGGCAACTGCTCCGACATCACTGATGCGGCAGTGGTCGCCCTCGCCGGTGGCTGCCCCAACCTCACAACCCTCTACTTGGACAACTGCTCCAACATCACTGATGCGGCAGTGGTCGCCCTCGCCGGTGGCTGCCCCAACCTCACAACCCTCTACTTGTACAACTGCTCCAACATCACTGATGCGGCAGTGGTCGCCCTCGCCGGTGGCTGCCCCAACCTCACAACCCTCTACTTGAGCTACTGCTCCAACATCACCGATGCGGCAGTAGTCGCCCTCGCCGGTGGCTGCCCCAACCTCGCAACCCTCAACTTGTACAACTGCTCCAACATCACTGATGCGGCAGTAGTCGCCCTCGCCGGTGGCTGCCCCAACCTCACAAGCCTCAAGTTGTACAACTGCTCCAACATCACTGATGCGGCAGTAGTCGCCCTCGCTGGTGGCTGCCCCAACCTCACAATCCTCCTCTTGGGCAACTGCTCCAACATCACTGATGCGGCAGTGGTCGCCCTCGCCGGTGGCTGCCCCAACCTCACAACCCTCTCCTTGTACAACTGCTCCAACATCACTGATGCGGCAGTGGTCGCCCTCGCCGGTGGCTGCCCCAACCTCACAAGCCTCAACTTGAGCTACTGCTCCAACATCACCGATGCGGCAGTGGTCGCCCTCGCCGGTGGCTGCCCCAACCTCACAAGCCTCAAGTTGTACAACTGCTCCAACATCACTGATGCGGCAGTGGTCGCCCTCGCCGGTGGCTGCCCCAACCTCACAACCCTCAACTTGAGCAACTGCTCCGACATCACTGATGCGGCAGTGGTCGCCCTCGCCGGTGGCTGCCCAAACCTCACATCCCTCGACTTGGAAAACTGCTCCAAGGTTACCCTCGACTTGCATCGCGCACGCACTGCCATCGCCCAACCAGACTTCCCTGCATCGCAGCACGCCTGTGCTCTGCTTGGCTTTACTCAAGCCCATGTGCCCCATCCGGTGCATCTCATGGCCCGCTGTAACGCTCTCTCCGTGGACGCGCTCAACACGCTGCTTGCCAACGGCGCAGACCTCTACGATCTCGATGATGACAACAAGCACGCGTACGTGCACTCGCCCGCATCCCATGCGCCAGTCTTTGTCGGCCTCATGATCGAGTCGCTGCGGGCCAACGCTGACGGCGCCACCAAGCTTGCCAATGACATCAACAAGGCCACCCTCGCCCTCTTTGTCGCCCTCCGCGCCTCACCGACCGTCCCGATCTCAGCCGACATCGTCTCCGAGCTCGTCACCGCTGGTGCAGACGTCAACGCTGTTGAACCCACGTTCAATACGCCCGTCTTTCATGTCGCCTTTACCCTGGCCAAACATGGTGCCCTCAAGGCTCTCCTCGAGGCAGTTGCCGCCCTGGATGTCGTCCTCGACCAGTCTGCCGTCGACGGAAACGGCGCCACTGTGCTCGACACCATTATCGCCGCGAACCAGCTGACAGCTGAGCGTATGGTCGAGCTGGGCGGAGTTGGTATCGATCCCTTCACGCTGCAACCGGACACAACGCACGTGTACGTAGCTGCTCCCGTGGAGCGATCTTCAGCGTTCTCATCTGCGATGGTCGCCTGGATCCGCGAGCATGGCGACGGCGCCACCAAGCTTGCCAATGGTATCAACAAGGCCACCCTCGCCCTCTTCATTGTCCTTCATGCCGCAGACACAATCCCGTTCTCCATCCCTGCCTTCGCCTTCCTCATCAACTCCGGCGCCGACATCAATGCCCTCGAGCCGTCCCTTGGACTGCGCCCGCTCCACGTCGCCGTCTCTCCCTCCAACATCCTCGCAACCATGGCACTGCTCGCCGCGGGTGCCGATGTGTGGGCTCTCGGGTCCAACGGCGAGACGGCCATGTCAATTGCCTCGGCTGTGCTCAACAAGTCCGACAGCGCCAATAATCTGGCTACAAAGGAAGTCTACAATCTCATCGTCACCGGGGCTGCTCCCGAGCCAGTAGCCTCTTACGTCCGTGAGACCATCGCTGCCGGTGGCGACATTGGCGGCGGTGCAGACGCCTCTGCTGGGACCTCCACTCGCGTGGACAAACTCGACGCCGAGCTCGCCGACACCAAGGCCGAGCTCGCCAACACCAAGGCCAAGCTCGCCGCCGCCGAGGTCGAGCTCGCCGACGTCAGGGATCACGTCACCATCGCCACGGGCAACATCGCCGCCCTCCAGGCCGACCGCGCCAACATCCTCCAGCACGTCGACAAGGCCATCGCTATCTTCCAAGCACGCCGCTAGTCCTACGGCGCAAAGCTCTCCTCGTGGTGTGCGGTAGCGTCCACACCGCCGCCGGGACATCGTCCGCGGGCGACGCCATGCCGCAGTAAAACACGCCCAGCAGCGTGGAGGCTTTGTGATGCGCCGCAGCGTAGCCGAGCGTGTAGGGAAACTGCGGGTGCCGGCGGCAACACGCCCAAGACAATGATCCGGATCTCGCGAATAAGCCGATGCGGCGACGATTCGGCAAGCACCTCTGGCCGCCTCTGGTAGTCGTTGAGCGGGCGGGTGGCCCACCGGAACAAGACTGTCTGCTCGCGCGCCAGTTCGACCCGGCCAGTTCGACCCGGTAACAATCATCGGCATAAGACATAATCGATACCCGGAAGCGAGGTCTCCCCACTCGCCAATCAGCGCACATGCGTGGGTTGGCCCTGCCCAATACCGGTCGAACCCCCGCACCTGGACCACACACACACACACACACACCACTTCTGCCGACGTAGCATTCGACGCAAAGCGCACACGCATGTGTGGTACTCGGCATAGGTGGACTCACAGCAGGGCAAAGGTGGCGCACGTCGGTTGGCTCTGGCATGATGGCTCGTCCTTGCCCGTCGGTGGTTCGTGGCGGCTGATGGCGGTGGCGTTGACGAGTCTTTTGGCGCTCGTTGTGGCGGTCCAGGTGGCGGCAGTGCCAGACATTCCGCAGTGCTGGGCAGAGGTCGACGTGGTGGCGCAAGTAGTGAGTACACCAGTCAGCAATACGCAGGCTGTTATTGCAGCTGATATGGATGGTGATGGCGATATCGACCTGGCATCGGCGGGTGGCAACTGGATCGCGTGGCACGAGAACACCGACGGAAACGGAACCTTTGCGCCGCCGCAAGTAGTGAGCACGGCAGTCGACGGTGCGCGGGCTCTCATTGCGACTGACATTGATGGAGATGGCGATCTGGACCTGGTGTCCGCGTCGTACAACGACAACAAGGTTGCATGGTATGAGAACCTGTACGGCAACGCCACCTTTGGCCAGCAGCAAGTGGTGACCACTGCAGCAGGCACTGTGCAGTCTGTTACTGCAGCTGACTTTGATGGTGATGGCGATATCGACCTGGCGTCGGCATCGTATTTGGACGACACCATTGCGTGGTACGAAAATACCGACCGAGCCGGGAGCTTCGGGCCGCCACAGGTGTTGAGCGCCTTGACAAACGATGCGTATTCAGTGATCGCGGCTGACATTGACGGAGATGGCGATCCGGACCTGGTCTCGCCGTTGTTCGGTCAAAACAAGATTGCCTGGTACGAGAACATCGACGGAGCCGGAATCTTTGGGCCGCAGCAAGTGGTGAGTACCGCAGCGAATGGTGTGCGGTCTGTGACTGCGGCTGACATGGATGGAGACGGGGATCTGGACCTGGTCTCGGCGTCGGAGCTTGACGACAAGATTGCGTGGTACGAGAACACCAATGGGACCGGGTCCTTTGGACCCCAGCAAGTGGTGAGCACTGTAGCCCGCGCTGCCAGGTCGGTCATTGCGGCTGACGTGGATGGTGATGGTGACATGGACCTGGCGTGGGCGTCGTCGTTCGCCAACAAGATTGCGTGGCACGAGAACAAGGACGGAGCCGGAGACTTTGGGTCAGAACAGGTGGTGAGCACTGTAGCGGACGGTGCGGTGTCTGTGTTTGCGGCTGACATTGATGGAGACGGGGATCTGGACCTGGCGTCGACCGTCGGCGGCAAGGTTGCATGGTACGCAAACGCTGACGGGAACACCACGTGGGGATCGCAGCGAGTGGTGAGCAGTGCAGCTGGCGGGGCGTACTCTGTTATTGCGGCTGACATTGATGGCGATGGTGATTTGGACTTGGCGTCGGCCTCGTACAACGATGATAAGATTGCGTGGTACGAGAACATCGACAGCGCTGGGGGCTTTGGACCGCAGCAGGTGGTGAGCACTGCAGCGGACGGTGCGGCAGCAGTCATTGCGGTTGACATGGACGGAGATGGCGATATGGACCTAGTCTCGGCTTCGTCGATAGATCGCACCATTGCGTGGTACGAGAACACCGACAGGGTCGGGAGTTTTGGGCCAACGCGCGTGATAAGCGCTAACGCGCACGGTGTGGCGTTGGTCATTGCGGCCGATATTGATGATGACGGCGATGTGGACCTGGCATGGGCGTCGTCGTTTGCCAGCAAGATTGCGTGGCACGAGAATATGGACGGAGCCGGTGGCTTTGGGCCAGAGCAGGTGGTGAGCACTGCAGCAGCCGGTGTGGTGTCTGTGGTTGCGGCTGATTTTGACGGCGATGGTGATCTGGACCTGGCGTCTCTGTCGTTCTACGACGACAAGCTTGCATGGTACGAGAACACCGACGGAGCTGGGAGCTTTGGGACGCAGCAGGTGGTGAGAAGTGTAGTGTATGGAGCGCGGTCCATGATCGCGGCTGACATTGATGCGGATGGCGATGTGGACCTGGTGGTGGCGTCGTCCAGTGACGACGACATTGCCTGGTACGAGAATACCGAGGCGGTCGGAGGCTTCGGGACACGGCGAGTGGTGAGCAGTCTCGGGAACGATGTGTGGTCCATGTTTGCGGCCGACATTGATGGAGACGGCGATGTGGACCTCGCGTCGGCGTTGTTCTTCGACAACTCGGTTGTGTGGTATGAGAACACCGACGGGAACGGGACCTTTGGTCCGCAACAACTGGTGACCACGTTGGCAAACGGGCCACGGTCAGTCATTGCGGCTGACATCGACGGAGATGGAGATATGGACTTTGCATCAGCGTCAGAGTATGACGACGAGATCGCATGGTATCCTCGTCTCACGCGCAACGCGTTCCACTTTCCGGCTCCGCGGGTTGTCACCTACTCCCCTAGCCTTCCCGCCTGCCTCGACGACCCAACGTGTCTCTCCGCCAACATTCACCGCCTGTCTCGGTGCATCTCCGACACCCTCCTCTTTCCGCCCGGTACGTACGCATTTGGCCGTGCTGGCGCGCACCTCAAGCTCGATCACCCGTGTACTCTTGCAGCTGCTGTGCCAGGTCATGTTGTCATCGACGCGACTCTTCCTCCTAGCATCTCTGCTGGTGGTGATGGTGGAGTGCTCTTCCATGTCGTGCCGCCGGCTGCAACCTATTCTCCGCCTCTCTCGGTACGCCTTGTCAATCTCACCATCACCAACATGGGCACCGGCTTTGACTCGGTCTTGGCATCCCAAGGCATGCGTGTTGACGGCGAACAGGCTGTCCTTGAGCTCCACTCGTGTCGCATCGTGTCGTCGACAGCGACGTCCTCACAAAAGAGCTCTCTCTTTGATGTCGGCTTCGGCGGCGCGGTCCTTGTCAAGAACGCCGGTACTCTCATCGTTACCAACTCCACCTTTGATCGCTGCTTTGCCTCAGTTGCCGGCGGCGCCGTGGCTGTCGATCGGGATGGTTCACTCGCGCGCATCGCCAACACCACCTTCCTCGCCAACACTGCCAAAACCAGCGGCGGTGCTATCACAGCCACAAACGGCGGCCACATCGAGCTCGACGGCGTCCACTTTGACGCCAATCTCGCTAGCATTGGGAATGGCGGTGCGGTGGCCCTCGACTCGGGCTCCTCGGCTACCCTCGCCGATGTCGCTTTCGTGGCCAACACCGCGTCAGCTGGCGGCGCACTGGCTGCTGCAGCATCATCATCGGCTTCGCTCGCCAGAGTCGTCATCAGCCACAACATCGCTCGCAACAACGGCGGCGGCGTCCACATCGACGACACCTCATCAGCCTCGTTTGACCACTCCGTTTTCGCAGACAACAGCGCCGCCAAACTCGGCGGCGGTCTCGTTGTCCGACCAGGCGCCAACGTCACCCTTACTGCATCAACACTCACACGCAACACTGCTGCCAGCGGTGGTGGTCTCGCCATCCTCCTCGAGTCCGCCGATCATGGCGCTCTCGTCGACGCCGCCCAGGACTTCGCCTCCGTCTCGGCGTCTCCTTCGCCAGCCGCCACATCCATCACCGTGCATGACGTCGTCCTCGACAGCAACCAAGCCCGCTACGGCGGCGGACTCTTTGCCTGTGGGGCATCCATCGTCGTGTCCGGCGCAGCGACGGAGTGGACGAGCAACCGCGCGACATCCTCTCCAACCCTCGGCTCCTCGGCCGACGCCATGGTCTGTCTCGCTTCGTCCTCGCAACCTCCGTGGCTGACCCTCGCCACGGGCAAGATCACGACAGACAACATCCACTCGCCTCCCACCCGCATCGAGTGGGTTGCTATGCCCGGGCCTGTCGAGCTCGGCAAAGACGCCAAGGGCAGCTTCCGGCTCCGCGATGCCCTCAACCACGTCGTGGCCTACGCCGACTCGCCCGTCTCGCTCAACGCGTCTGCGCCCGGCCTGATTCTGCAGTCGACGGCGGCCGCCATCGCGACCGAGTCCGAGTCCAGCCTACTTCCGGCCCAGCCGCTACGGATCGAGAACAAGCCTGGTGACATACCGGTTCTGCCCGAGGTGCTCTTTACCCTGGCGATGGCTACGGTTGAGCCCAGAGCCGACCTCCCTGTGCCGATCCCAGTCACACCGATCTCGGCCATCGTCCCTCTCGTCGCATGTGCTGTCGGCTCTGGTCGCCGCGACTTTGCGCTAGTCATTGCCGACGGTGGGCTGGTTGACGTCGCCGAGTGCACGACCTGTGTCTTGGGTGAGTCGTACTCGCCATCGGTCTCTCTTGACCCATGCATCGCTGTCCGCGAGTGCAACGCCTTCTCGCGCCCCATCGACGCCACCGTCAACAACGTCACCATCCCGGCGTGCGTTTGTGAGAGAGACTACACCCTGTCTACCTACGACGACCAAGGCTTCCCGATCTGTGTCTCATGCCCATCCGGCGCACTTTGCGCCGAGGGTCTCGGCCTGCCCGTCCCGGCGCCCGGCTTTTACACTGACAACGCCACGTTTATCCGCTGCAAGCGGCCAGCAGGCTGCATCGGCGGTTCGCTCACGTCGCAGTGCAAGCCGGGCTACGCCGGATACATGTGCAACACCTGCGAGCCCGGCTACTACTCGAACGCCGTCAGCGAGTGTGTTGTCTGTCCGCCAGCCGCCGTCGGCACCCTCATCGGCACCCTCCTCACCCTCGTCGTCATCGCCTTGGGCGCCGCCGTCGTCATCGGCATCGGCATCGTCCGTTCGCGCCCCGAGAGCGACACCAAGGCCCCAACGTCGGCGAGGTCAAGACCGCCGAGGAGCTGCGCAACCGCAACCTACCGGGCTCGCTCTCGATGATCCTGGTCGTCTTCCAGGTCCTCGGCATCCTGGCCAACGCCAACTTTGCGTGGTCGGACTCGAGCAAGGCCACCCTCGGCGCGTTCAACGTCTTCAACATCGACGCCAACCTCTTTGCCTCCGAGTGCACGCTCTCCACCTTCCACGTCAAGTACATCGTGTCGGTCTTGCTCCCGCTGGCGGTGCTCGCCGCCGTCATCGCTGGCCTGATCGCACTCAAGACGGCCGCCAAGGCCGGCATCTCCAAGTTTGGTCTCGATCGCCTGCATGCCACCAAGCTCAAGACGCTCGTCGACGCTGCTCTGTTCACTATTGCGCCGCTGCTGTACATCCCGATGGCCAAGTCGACGCTCGTCCTCTTTGACTGCGCGCGGCTGCCGAACGGCAGGTTGGTGCTCGACATCGACCCCGGCGTGGCCTGTTTTGATGGAGCATGGAGCGGCGTGCTGCCAGTCGGCCTGCTCGGCCTTGCCTCGTACGTCGTCGGCATCCCGGGCTACTTCCTCTGGTGCCTGATCAGGCAGCGGCACAATTTGCTGGCGCCGGAGACCTTTGCGCGTTACGGCGGGCTCTACAAGCTGTACCGAATCAGCTACTTCTGGGGCGGCGTGGCAGATCTTGCCAAGCGGCTGGCGATCGTGGTGGTCGCCAGCTTTGTCAGTGACCACCAGCTCGCGCAGATCGGGCTGCTGCTCGCCATCCTGCTCGCGTCCGCTTTCACCATCAAGTCGCTCCAGCCGTACTACTATCCGCTGTACAATGACATCGACTTTCGGCTGACGGTCCTCCTCATCGTGGTTCTCATCCTCGGCACCTTTAGCTACGCAGAGCGAGCAAGCAAGGGCTCGTCGCAGACCACCATCTTCGTCGGCGTCGTGCTGGCGCTTGTCGCGCTCGCCGGTGTTGCTATCCACGCCATCGCCATCGATATGCGGCAGATCGCGCGCGCCAAGAAGCGTACATACTCGGCGCTGAACGATCGCGCGCGGCGGCTAGCAACGACCATCGAGCGTGAGGTCGCCGACCTTGATGTCGAGCGTGCAGCCGTGGCCGAGTCTGCCATCCAAGGCTTCACCTCTCCATGTGACCGGACACAAGACAAACGGCCCGACGCGATTGCCCTCGAAGATCTCGACACGCTGGACTCCATCACCTCCACCTATACGGCGAAGGAATGTACCCAGCGCATCGCTCCTCTCCTCCGGCCGCAGGTGTCCGCGATGGAGAGCAGCACCGGAAATTGAAGCCGATACAACGGTCTTTGCCGGGAGCGCACTGACTGCAGCCGCATCGTCATCAGCTTTACTCACCAGAGTCGTCATCAGCCACAATACTGCTCGCGACAGTGGCAGCGGGCTCACACTTTCATCAGACGCCAACGTCTCCCTTGGCTGCTCAATCCGGCGTGTGCCCATCAGGCCGACATCCTACTGCCATCCACATTCACACACACTCTCTCTCTCATTCACACACACTCTCTCTCTCTCTCGCTCACTTCTCACTCCCATATGCTCCAGTACCTCTCCGTTTCCCCTCATCCTCTTTCTCCATCATGTGTCTCATCCTTTCCCTGGCCTTCTCCACCAAACGCTCGCCTACTGCCAAATTTTGGTGATCACCTTTTAGCTCCTCTATCCATCCAAGCATCGGCACTCTCCCGTCGGACAGACTGACAGATGATGTAGATACCCTCACCCTCAACTCATCGCTGACTACTGCACCGACTCGGACTTCTCCCTACTGTTCCACCTCGCGGCTGCCCGTCTCGTGCCCAGGCCAGTGACCTCGACGATCATCGCGCACCTAGTCCGTTACGTCCTTGATACGGACAACAACCCACCTGTTCCGCTCTCGCCTGCTGACCTCACACTGCTCGATGTTACCACCATCACCAAGAGGCTTGCCACTGCCCGACCACCGACGCCCAAGCCACCGCAGGCGTACACTCCGGCCGCAGCTTGGGCCGATGTCCAGGTATCGGCCGACCTCCCACCATGCCCGCCCATGGACGAGCTGCTGGCACTTGTTGGTCTTGACCACGTCAAGCGCATGTCGCTCATCTTTGAGCAGAATCTCATCTATCAGCAGCTGAAGCAGATATAGCGCGTTCCTGTCACGCTCAACTATGCCTTTATGGGCAACCCAGCTAGCCGCAGGATACTGAACACCTTAAGCTGTCATTACCAAACCCATTTCGCGACCGCCCGTACCCCGACCCCTCCACCAGATGACTACCAAGCACACTCCCATACATCGAATGCGTTCATCCTATGCTGAAAATACCCGATCCCGTCTCGCTCTCGGAAGTCAAGCAGCATGAGGCTTGGTTAGTACTGTGGTGGGGGACCACACGGGAATACCGAGTAACGCATTCTTTCTCTTTTTGCCCTTCCGTGGACCCTCGTTCCCCTCGCCGTTGTCGCCCGTGTCACCCGTGTCACCCGTGACACCTCCGTCCCTACCCAATTTGCCCGCCGAAAAATCCAAAATTCACCGCACACGCGCGACTGCCACGCCACATGCGCTCGCTCGCCTCCCTTCTCCAATAGTGTGCAGATTGTGGGGTGAGGACAAGGGAGGATAAGGTGGTAGATGAGGTGTAGGGCAGGTGGTGTACAGAACAGGGGAAAAAGACTTTCCCAATCCTCCGCCGGCACTTCAATGATGTCCTAATTGGTAAAACCAGGCACGTGGGTTGACCCGCGCTCTCTCTCGCCCGCGAACTCGCCCAAACACCTGCTTCTGCTCCCACACTGCCATTACTAATCTCCAGAACCGACCAAGCTGCCGACAAGCCTGTAGCTACCACCAGCTTTCTTCTTCTTTACCTTGACCAAACATCTCTACGACATGCGATTGCCCAAGCGGCTTGCGTATGGTAAGCGCCGGGTCCCTAAAAATTGCTGTGTCATCCCCCGCCCCGTGCGCATCCTCCCCACATGCACGCTGCCTCATTCACCACGCACCCCCCTCGCCTGCAGTCGATTACCTACTTGTGCTCGCCTTTGCACTGGTGCTTGCCGCTTCTTCGGTGCTCGCGGCAAACGAGCTCGGCATCTGCTTCTTCGCCCAAACCTCCGACCTCGCCCCACCCTCCGGCCTCACCCGCAGCTGCGGGCACGACTCGTGGACGTACCATTCGCTGAGCGTGCCTGGCACAGCCATGGCCACCGCCCCGTTCATTTCCGCAATGGAGGACAGGTACACCATCGACGACCTCAACCTCGTCGTCGCCTCCGATCGTAGTGGCTTGCTCAAGATTGGCGCAAACCTCCACTATTGCCACGACGTTGATGGAGACGGCAAAAACAACGAGCACAACTATGCGTGCTACCCAGGAGGATGGTCGTACCAGGACGTGGATATGGCTGCCACATGCCATGCTATCCGTGGTGACTGCACGCTTCAGAGCCTCCGCGTGCACTACGGTACATGGATGCGCGACAAGCACTTTGCTACCGCCAACCACTTTACCAAGTTTGACTTTTGCTGCCGCTCCGCAGCAACTGTCCAGGACATCACCTCTACCTCTACCAACTCGCTCTACGTCCCTTCCAAGGACACCAATGGCGATGGTTTTCTCTTCCATACCACCAAGGAACTTGCCTGGCGCGATGGTGTGGGTCCCTCGCATCCCAACGACTGGCCGCGCATGGCCGCCTCGCCGCCCCGGATGGCGCTGCAGCGGTCGACAGGCACAGACTTTGGCTCGCTCTTCAACCAGAACTCGTTCTGCTTCCTCCCCTACGTTCAAACTGAGATCGACAGTGTGGTCATGGGCTTCTGTCCTCGCAACTACAAAAAGGTCGAGTTTGTCATGAAGAACGTCCTCGGCGAGCTCATCATCTACCATCCGCGCCCTACGGGTGCCCAGCAAGGCCCCACCGCCCGCTTCTCCAAGGATGACTTTATGTTTACCATGTGCTGCGCGGAGGATGGTCTCGATTGCGGCCCGAGCTCAAACTGTAGCAACAACGGCGTCTGCTCGCTCGAGACCGCATCCTGCGAGTGTGACTTGGACGAGCACAAGTACCCTCACTGCGGTGGCTGGTGCGGCGATGGCATCGTCCAGAGCAACTACGAGCAGTGCGATGACAGCAACAATCCACTCTGCGACATGCGCACTTGCCGCGGCTACTCGCAGCCGTCCGACATCGCCTTTTCCAGCATTGCCCACAACACCTTTACCGCAACCTTTTTGCGCTCGCCCTTTGAATCCCGCTTCACCTCCGCCGCCCGCGTCGACGCCGTCTACTTTGACGTCAAGCACGCCGGCACCTCGCTGCCGGGCTTCCCCAAGGATGTCCGCTCCCCGTCGCTCTCCATCACCGTGTCCGATCTCGACGGCATGCGTGACTATGACGTCTACGCCCTCCCCTACACCTCTGGCAAGAAGTGGGTCGTGCCAGAGACCAACGAGTGGCAGCGCGCCGTCCCGGCCACCGTCTCCACCAACTGCGAGTGCCCGGGCAAGCCATCGACCACACCGCAGAACTTTGCCGTCATCCAAAAGGGCACCCAGGTCTTCTTCTCCTGGAACGACGCCACCGCCTGCGAGGATCGCTTCACCGTTCATCGCCGCCTCATCTCCGACCCGCAGCCCTCCATCATCGCCTCCTACTCGCTCCCGGCCAAGGACGCTTGCTCCACCGAGCCGCTCGCTCCGACCTCGGACGCCGACAACGTAGCCAACCTCATTCTTGGATCAACCTATGAGTACTCGATCGAAGCCAAGGACTCGTTCTCGGGCTTCTCCTCTGCTCGTGCTACCGCCTCGCTCAACGTCGACTGGGTTGCCACCGTCTTTGTCGACGTCGTCTCCACCTCGGGCACCGGCATCGTTGGCACCTCGGTCGTCATCACCTACCCCGGCTCCCCGCTTCCGCTTGCTACCGCAGTCACCGATCGCGCTGGCTCGGCACGCCTCGACATCCAGATCCCCAACGAGCCCAACGCTGCCATCGAGCTCATGGTACGTGTCGCAAAGACCACCGCCGGAAACGTCCACACCTACAAGTGCGACGATGGCAGCCCATGCAACAGCACGCTTGTCTCGGCCACCCACCTTGGCTCGACTCAGGCCCGCTTCATGGACATCTCCGTCGTCTCGGTTGCCGGATCGCTCTCGGTCGCTGCCACCGCAGAGTACACCGAGGACGCCCGCCCGTGCCCGGTCGCCGATTCGCGCGCCTACATCTGCTCTTACCACGCCGCCACCCTTGAGCGCCTCGAGTGCACCCATCCTAACGCCGCGGGCGCCTACGCCCTCACCTTCCCGGTTGGCATCGCCGTCCACGTCGTCGCGGCCTGGGCGTTACCTGGCATCGATCCCAACGAGCATGCCGACTTTGTCTACGCGCCCGCCATCGGGTCTGCATCCCACACCATGACCCCGCTCCCGCTCGCTTCGGCGTACTCTGGCCACGGCTCCATCAAGTCGATCACGGTGCCAGGCGCGTCGACAACAAGCGTCTCCATCCCTCAGACACCCGTCACTCTCCCCTCCTTCCTCCTCGCAGCCTCGGTCGAGCACTACGAGGGCGTCAACTTTGAGGACCAGACCACCGTCGAGCTCACCATCGAGGTCGCCGGCGGCAAGTGCAACTTCCCGATCGGGCCAGGCGTCGTCCGCCTCGTTGCTGCTACGTGTCCCAAGTACATCCGCCGCGTCGTCGCCGGCTCGTCGACCTCGCACATGACCACCTACGCCATGCCGGCCATGCTCTTTGATGCCACCTTTGAGGACATCGACGCCATGCAGCCGCACCTCTGGGTCCCAGGCATCTCGGTCGGCCAGGTCGGCACCTACTTCCGCACCGTTCTCCAGGATCGCGTCACCGCCGATCTCCGCTCCGGCTCCAGCTCGGCCCGCTACGAGTTCCACGTCCCGCCCACCGTTGCGCTCAAGGGCGTCTCGTTCGCCTCATCGTCGTGCGGGTATGCCGTCCTCCCCATGGGCTCCAAGCACTGGATCGCCCTCGTCTTTGAGGAGCGGTTCACTTCGCATCTCGTTTGCAAGGACTTTCCCATCACCTCGCCCAATCTCGTAGCGGCTACTCGCGACGACCAGCCGCAGCTCCCGGCTCAGATTAGGGTCTACGACACCGTCTCCACCCAGATCTTCGCCGATGGCTCCATCAATCCCTGCGCCGTCGACGCAGGCTGCCTCGTCCCTCTCCGTCATGGCAGGCCCACAAACGTCGTCCTCGGCGGGACCGACAACGCCACCTTTATCGAGCTCCCGCTGCTGCCGGCCAAGCCAAACGTCAACCATCCGAGCCTGCTGTACCAGTACCGGGTCGATTTTGACCAGCCGGGCTATCCGCTGCTGCAAGAGTCGTGGCCCATGGCGGTGACCGGCGAACTTGCGCGTGGCGATGGCTTCCTCATGCGCATGCCCACCGAGGTCGTCTCCTCCAAGCTCTACGATCCGCCGGGCGGCCTCTCAGTCGCCTCCATCGAGACCGGCAAGTCGGTCGAGACTTCGGTGGAGATCTCCAGCGGCAACGACTTTTCCATCGATCGCGCGTGGAACACGGGCCTCGGCGGCACTGTCGCTACCGAGACCTGCACCGGGCCGCCAGGCGCCCAGCAGTGTACCGAGACCGCGGCCACAGAGTCCGAGCTTGACATCAATGTCGAGGTGGCGGTCAACAGAGAGTCCAACGAGATCGGAACCGAGGCGACCATGCGCATGTCGTCGGACAAAATGACCACATCCGACGATCCGGCCTTTATCGCCGTCACAGACGCCGCCGGCAACGTTCTCCACTATCCGGACCTCCTCGTCATGCCGGCGCTCACCCTCAAGTTCACCCCACCGATGCCATCGCCTTCAACATCACTGAAGCCAACACTGGGAGCTGCGACTCTGAGCACCGTAACAATGGCCTGACAAAGTCAACCAGCGTCCAGTGGGCTGCCGAGCCGACCTCGGTCCTCCTCTACCACACCATTTTCGACGCCATCAACGGCGTCCTGCCCGAGCTGCACATGCTGCGCATGCTCGAAAACAAGAACCCAAACGCTGACCCGGTCCAGCTCGATCGCATCGACAGTTCCATTGATGCATGGACCAAGATCATCGGCAACCACAACTTCGACTACACAACAGCCACACCTATCGCCCTCGGTGATGCCTCGGAAGTCGTCTTTTCGGGCGGCGGCTACGCCATCGAGCGGACAACCGCCATCGAGGTCACCGATGCCGATACCTACGACTACTCGTGGTACATGGATGCGTCGATCGAGAAGGAAACCGGTGCCGAATACATTTTCTTTGGCGTCCGCACCGCTCTCGGCAAGACCACCAAGTTTGCCACGCAGATCCGCTTCGGCAAGTCCGAGACGACCACCACCGCGACTACCAACGAGGTGAGCTATACACTTGGCGATGGCGAGCTCGGTGACTACTTCCAGGTCAAGATCTTCGAGTCGCCCAAGTACGGCACCCCGCTGTTCGAGACCACAGGCGGCGTCTCCAAGTGCCCGCACGAGATCGGGACGACTGCCCGCGAGGCCGTCGACTTTAACCTCCTCACCTCGGGCACCGTCATCAACATCCCGCCGCTCGGCGCAGCCACCTTTGAGGCGGAGATTGTCTCGGCTTCGCCGACCCAGGAGGCTATGGTCATGAACCTCCGTCCCGATCTGTCCTCCAACCCGAACGGCCTGGTCGTCAAGCTCAACGGTGCGCCATTCATCGAGCCGGTCGAGATCGCCGCCGGCTACAACTCGCCCACCAAGGTAACGTTTACGGCTTCACGTGGGCCGTCCGCCTACATCTACGACAACGTCGCCATCAAGGCTGTCTCGCTTTGCGAAGACGAACAGTACTACACCATGGGTACCCTCTCGCGCTCGGCGCCCATCGAAGGCGCGATCGCGCTCTCGGCCCGTTTCTTGCAGCCGTGCGCCGGGCTCTCCTGGGCCGGCGATCTTCAGCGGCAGGGCAAGTTCCTCATCAACACCGCCTCGCTTGAAACCGCCTTTCCTAACAAGATCCGCGGCCTGGTGTACAACCCCGAGTACTATCTCCAGGCCTGGAGCGAGCATCCGCGGCTGGCGAGCGTCCAGCTGGAGTGGCGCCGGCGCGGGACTGCCACCTGGGAGCGTGCGCGCGATGCATCGCTAGACGTCATCGATCTCGTCGCCGAGGAAGACATGTTTGGCTTTGGCCTCTTTGAGTGGGACGTCGCCAACTTTCTCGATGGCTTCTACGAGCTGCGTGCCGTGGCGCAGTGCGTGCCGACCGGGCGCGACGATCTCGACGCTACGTACGCCACCGTGCTCTCGGGCGTCATCGATCGCGCACCGCCAGCCCAACTGGGCAAGGCAGAGCCTGCTGATGGCGTCTACTTTCCGGGCGATGCCATCAGCATTGCCTTTACCGAGGACATCGACTGCGAGGCGCCGACGAGGTTCCTGTACTCGGTCATGGTCGATCGGGTCCCGCGGCCGGCCTCCACCCTCAAGGTGCGGTGCGAGGGCAACACCATCAGCTTTGGCATCGACAACACCCTCCCGCTCAGCTCGCTCGCTGGCGCCGAGGTCATCATCGCCCTCTCCAACGTCTACGATCTCGCCGACAACGTGGCGCCCGAGGTCTTTGAGTGGGTCTTCAGTGTCTACCCGGTCCAGGTCAAAGACACCTCGGTCCGGCTTGACGGCCTCGTCTTTGGCTCGCCGTACGGCTCGCTCTCGCCCAGCCCCCAGGCCTGGGCCGGCACGCTTATTGCCGATCTCGAGATCGCCATGGAGCTCACGCTCGGTCCGTCCGCTTCTGGCCCGCAGCCGGCCTCGTCCGCAGACATCCGCGTCTCGGCCGGCATTGCCGACCGCATGCGCGTCTCGTTCATCGGGCCCAACCCGGCCAATGCGGGAAGTACCATCGTCTCGCTCTTTGTCACGGCCGGCAACAACCCGCCGGCCGACGACCTCGCCTCGGCGGTCCGTGCCATCGTGAGCTCGGGCGTCGAGGCGGTGACTGCACGGGCTGCGCGGGGTCTGCACGCCAGCCGCCGCGCGCATGACCTCTTCGCCATGACACTGCAAGATCGCAAGGCCAGCGAGAGTATTGCGATTCGCGCGATTGCTCTGCCTACGCTCGCCACGCTTGTCGCCTCCAACTCGACGGTCGACGCTGTGTTTGTGCCATCCCAGTCGGACGAGGTGACCAACGCTGTGGCCAAGTCCAAGCATCTTGCCCAGGTCGCTGCTGGCGACAACATCAACAGCGACGGTGAGATGCGCAAGACGACCAACGAAGCCGTCATCGGCTCGTCGCCGTCGTCGCCGAGTGCATCGGATGAACACTTTTCGCTCCTCCAGTTTGCTCTCGTCAACGGCTCGATGCTGGTGGTCTCGGTCGCCGTCGTCATCGTCTCAACCTGGTGGTTTACCCACACCTCGGCTCGCCGCGTCGAGAATGGTGTCTACCGAATGGGTGTGAACAAGACCTTGCGGAACAAGTCCATCAAAGCCCGCGGATCTGGCTCGGATTCTGGCGTGCCCATGCAGCGGCGGTGGCTCGATCGCTCTCACTCGTCGTACGACTACGACGGGACCACCACCACCAGCGATTACGCGTAAAGGCTTGGTTCTTGGAAGAGTGCGTGGACAAGACAACGATTTGGCTATGTACCACGTGTAGCATCGTTTAAACCCTTACGGTACGGAATGGACAATTCGTCCATCGCGCAAGCCGCGCTTTGCGATGCTCCACAGACGTCGCAACGTCCACCACCATCCCGGCCGACCTTGATCTAGTCACCGATGGCGTGTAAGCGCACCATGCTCCGCTGACGTTACAGCGCAGATTGCGTTGCGGACCGACGCAGCCAATCGCGCTGGTCGTCGTGCGACCGCTCGCTTGCCGATCGCACTATCACCATGCCAGCCGCCCTTGCCGGCGACGTCTGGTTGAGAGCCGCAACCGACGGGCTGTCGCTCGCGACGTCGCCGCTCGAGCCAGAAATGATGAGGACTGACGGCGAGAGCGGCGAGTGCGGTGTGATCGGCGATGCCGGCCCGGCAAACAGCCTCGGGTCGAGTGCAGTCGGCGGATCGAGCCCGGCTTCGATGGCGAGCCCGATGGTCGAGGCCGGGCCGGCCGACCTTCGTCGCGGGGTCCGTACTCTCGCCACAGACGAGCTGCGGCTTGTTGGCGCTCGCTTGCGGACAGCCGTTTTCCTCCGGGTACTTGATGGCGACCGCGACGAGGCCGAGCCGGCCTTCGATCGCCGCCGGACAACGCGCCGGCCTGGCGATCGCTCGCCGCAATGGGCGACCGCGGCTTGGATGGCCCCGACCCGCGCCGCTCGATCACTCGATCCACGCCGCGGAGTTGCCGACCGGTGGCGACTCGGAATCTTTCCAAGGATGGTCGACATGCCTAGCGTAAAGGCTTGGTTCTTGGAAGAGTGCGTGGACAAGACAACGATTTGACTATGTACCACGTGTAGCATCGTTTAAACCCTTACGGTACGGAATGGACAATTCGTCCATCGCGCAAGCCGCGCTTTGCGATGCTCCACAGACGTCGCAGCGTCCACCACCATCCCGGCCGACCTTGATCTAGTCACCGATGGCGTGTAAGCGCACCATGCTCCGCTGACGTTACAGCGCAGATTGCGTTGCGGACCGACGCAGCCAATCGCGCTGGTCGTCGTGCGACCGCTCGCTTGCCGATCGCACTATCACCATGCCAGCCGCCCTTGCCGGCGACGTCTGGTTGAGAGCCGCAACCGACGGGCTGTCGCTCGCGACGTCGCCGCTCGAGCCAGAAATGATGAGGACTGACGGCGAGAGCGGCGAGTGCGGTGTGATCGGCGATGCCGGCCCGGCAAACAGCCTCGGGTCGAGTGCAGTCGGCGGATCGAGCCCGGCTTCGATGGCGAGCCCGATGGTCGAGGCCGGGCCGGCCGACCTTCGTCGCGGGGTCCGTACTCTCACCACAGACGAGCTGCGGCTTATTGACGCTCGCTTGCGGACAGCCGCTTTCCGCCGGGTACTTGATGGCGACCGCGACGAGGCCAAGCCGGCCTTCGATCGCCGCCGGACAACGCGCCGGCCTGGCGATCGCTCGCCGCAATGGGCGACCGCGGCTTGGATGGCCCCGACCCGCGCCGCTCGATCACTCGATCCACGCCGCGGAGTTGCCGACCGGTGGCGACTCGGAATCTTTCCAAGAATGGTCGACATGCCTAGCACGGAGTTCGCGGTATCATCGCTCTGATCTGCGGTGCTGAGCGAGTTGGCGCGGTCGCGCGTTGTCGTCTCGGCCCGCTCGGCTATCATGCTGGCCACGACACGGGCCGCAACCGAAACCGATCCGCGAGCCGATCTTGCCACCGCCCGCCGGAACTCGGTGCGGCTGCACGGGCTGCACGGGCTGCTCTCACCGGCATCCAGGCCACCCGACGTCCGGGTCACCAGCGTGTCAGAGACGGCGTCGACGTCGACATCAACAACGTCGTCACCGCTGGACGACTCACCGTCAACAGGCTTGAGGTTGATGACCGTGGTGCTCAGCTCTGCGATGAGCTGCGGAGCCTCATCAAAGTCCGTCGCGGGCGCGACGGCATTGCTGCCTTGACCAGCCTGCCACCGGCCAAAGCGCCAGCCGGCCAGGCCGACAGTGCAGGCAAGCGAGGAGAGGACGGCGGCGAGGGCGATGGTGAACAAGTGAGCATTCTCACGATGGATAAAGTACAGGATCTGGCCGCAGGAGAGGAGTCCGATGACATTGGCCAGGACGGTGTGGTAGAGGTGGAGGAACGGGTCGAGGACGGCAACAAGCACAATGTTGAGGCAAAAGTTGAGCATCGCCGCCAGCAGCCGCGATCCGGCCTCGCGGACAAGAACGGTCTCGGCGGCAAAGGCAAACGAGACGCCAAACTGGAGTGTCCGGAACCAGAGCCGGGAGCCCCGAAGACCGCGGATGACAACCCCCACACGCTCCATAAGCGCTTCGCGATCGATGCTCTCCGCGCGCGCCCGCCGCGAGAGCCGGAACGCGACGACAAAGCCGAGGAGCGGAAAGCCGCCGCAAAAGACAACAATGATCATCCATGCAATCACGGCGAGTGGAATGTGTGCGCCAGTGTAGCACTCGAGCGTGAGATCGGCGCTTAGGCGCCACTTGCCGTCGCCGGACCGAATGCAGTGGATCGCTTGCAGCGAGCGGACAGCGAGCTGGAGGTAGCCGAGCGAGCCGAGGATGAGGCCAGCATGGATGAGCCGGGCGCGAGTGAGCCATTCAGAAGAGAGCTCGCGTGACGCAGCGGTGGTGAGGTTGAGGTGCGATCGGGCAACGAGGTCTCGGGAGCGTTTGCGTGCGCGGCCGATGACACGCCAGGCACAGGCTGCCAGGGCAAAGACAACCAGCGAGCCGAGGAGCAAGACCAGGGTGCCGTAGTAGATGCCGGTGAAGGAAATGGCTGGGATGTCGCAGCCGGGGCGGACAGTCTCGATCTCAAAGTTGATGATGGCGGCAAAGCGCACCATGCCACCGACGACCGGCGAGGTGTCCGAGTCAGAGAGCTCCTGGAGACCGAGCCGCGAGGCCATGGCCAGTTGCTGGAGAATGACAAGGGTGGAGACAACGAGAACAACGCGCTTGGCCGAGAGCGTGGCCAGGCCCCACGCGATGATGCCGATGAACGCCGCGAGCGAGATGATGATGATAGTGAGCTCGGCTGTCGCCGCCGCGTCCGAGCCGCAGCTCCGGCACACGCCATTGTCCATAAAGTGGCCTGGTGCGCAGAGCGCGCAAAAGGCCCCGGTATACTCGGAAGCGCAGAGTGCGGTATTGCGGCCGCCTTCGGGATTGAAAACAGGGCGGCCGATCGCGCCCGGACAGGCGGCCGGGATCCGGCACAGGGTTGGCTTGGCGAGCTCGCTCGGTGACCACCAGCCGGGCAGCGGCCACATCCGCTCGCCGCCAGGACAGTGCGCGCCGGGCGGACAGGCCTGGCAGACGCCGGCGTAGAGGACATACCCAACCTTGATGCACTCGTGATTGACATACAGCAGCAGCCGATCGATGGTCGTCGCATCCACAACGCTGCCGCTGCTCCGGAGTCTCCGGGTCACCGTGATGGGATGATAGCCCGTCTTGTTGGAGAACGGCGAGGCAAAGCCGAGACCGACGGCGGCGACGTCCACACCGACATCGGCGAGCGTGATGGCATCGGGCGAGAGTGCGTCTGGCGATGCCCACGAGACAAACGCGAGATCAAAGGCATACGCGGTGGCGTCAAAGAACGAGCCGGGATCAGGCCATCTGCTCAGCACCATCTCCACCTCGCCGAGAATGCCCGATGTGGATGGGGTGAGGAGCCATTGAATTGGGGTGGGGCTTGGGTCTGGGGCCGGGGCGGGAGGCGGAGGTGGCGATGGCGGAGGTGGCGATGGTGGCGGAGATGGCGCCGATGGTGGCGGCGGAGATGATGGCGGCGGAGATGGTGGCGGCGGAGATGGTGGCGGCGGAGATGGTGGCGGCGGAGATGGTGGCGGCGGAGATGGCGGCGGCGGCGATGGCGGCGGTGGTGATGGTGGAGGCGGCGATGGCGGCGGCGGGGGAGAAGCGCACGTTGTGGTTGTCGTCAGCGGCGAGTATGCGCCGCCGGCGCCGCAGGTGTGGATGGCGGGGCCGACGAGGGTAAAACCAGGGAGGCAAGCGATCCGGAGCGCATCGCCAACAACAGCATAGGTGGACTCGGTCAGCGGGTCAACCATGATGTAGCCGTTGGCCGGGGGGGAGGCGGGCGGGCAGGCATCGTAGAAGCGGAGGACGAGAAGTGGGTTATTGCTGACGTCGACGTCGCACAAGTTCCCATTGCCGCACTTGCTCCCGAGCTGATCGACAGCGAGCGCAAGATGCAGGCCGTCAAAGAGCGGATCGTCTGCCCCAGCCTGGAGCAGATCGCGGAGAGCCTCGCCGGCAAAGCGTGCGGTGAGCCGCCCGAGTCCGCGACGTCGACAAAGACGGCTGTGGTGGAGAGAGTGGTCTCGGTGGCGAGGCTCCAGCTGGTGGACCAAGGCGGATCGTTGTAGTGGGCGGCTCGAGTGGCAGCCGAGACGTTGTAGATGCGGAATATGATGTCCATGTCGGGACCACTGTCGATCGCATCGACAGTCATTGTCGTCTGGTTGGAGATGTGGATGCGGCCGGTGGCGGCGAGGAGCGAAGATGCGAAATCAAAGGTGACAGCCCCGAGCTCGCCGGCAGTGGGCCTCAGGTCCCACGCCGATGGGTTGTCCATGATGGTACCCGATGCCTTTACCATCTGCCCGACGTAGCTATTATCAGCAAGAACAATATCGGTTTGCAGACTGGCGGCTTGAGCAAGGCGGGTGCCGTGGAGCGGGAGAAGGAGCGCTCCGGCGAGGGCGCATGAGAGAAGGAACAATGTCCGACGCACCTCAAATTTGCGGCTGGCCGGTGGACGCCACGACGGCGGCGCGCAAGTACCTGCCGTAGGACGGCGATGGAGGCACGCCATCTTTGAGCAGAGTGTGGGTGCAGAGATGCGAGCCTTGGGAATGTGGCCCGGGTCGGCGAGTTAAATCCCCTCTCCGGCTGGGCGATCGTAGCAACGGAGAGCCTCTCGGAGTGTCGGGTGGCGGCAAAGGATTGGCACGCGCACGCGCAGCCAGCGCTTTTCCGCTCTATTCCGCACCACCCTCTCTTTGGGCGAGAGAGACCCCCACCTTTAATCGTCACCAGCCAACTTCGCCCGGCCCGTACTCGGTCCGCTCCTCCTCGCCAAAGACGGCGACGAGGGCCTCGTCCATGGCGTCGGCAAACAAGAGCTTGATCTCCGAGTCGACGTCGCGGCCGATGGGGCCAAAGGGCCGCGGGCGTGGCGCGCCGCGGGTCCAGTCACGCTTCTCGAACTTGTACTCGCCGTGCGCGGTGTTGAAGGTGTAGTGGATGGCCCAGGCTTGGTCATTGAACTCGGTGTCCATGGGCATTTCCGGCCCGTAGATGGCGGCCTGCGGCTCCATCTTGAGCTCTGCCAGGGCGCAGGCGAGGCCCCACATGTCGGCGATCCATGACTTGACGCCGTTGTCCCAGCCCCACTCGGAGGTGCGGACGTCGATCGTCTTCTGGATCCAGACCGGGAGGACGGCGCGGAGGTCGTCGATGTGGAAGGCCATGGGCATGCCGATGGGCGCGTAGAGCTCCGGCGAACTGGTGCAGTGCTCCAGGATGCGATCTTTGATGGGGCCATCGCGCATGTAAAAGTAGTCGTGGCCGAGCGGCTTGCCGCGCTCAGCCACGTCCGGAATCGGCCGGAGGACGAGCATGTCCGGCTCGATGAGTAGGATGTTGGTCCGCCCGGCCCACCTGCCGCCGGCCTCAAACTCGTGCCCGTGGTTCTCAAAGAACTTGAGCATCGAATACGCCCTGTTGTAGACGATAAAGTCGTCGCCCGGCGCGAGCGTCCGGCCCACGCCCTCGGTCTCAAACGCCGGGCAGCCCATGTACGGCCGCGAGCAGTCGACCTTGGTGGCCAGCTCGTGGTCATCGGGCAGATCCTTGGCCACCAGCGTCACCAGCGGCACATCGGGCATCTGCTTCTTGATGTGGTAGATCGCCGTCTGCTTTTGCCACTCTTGGTACTGCGAGTTGGCCGCCGTCACCACCACCAGCGACACCTCGGCCGCTGCCGAGGACGCCGTCTTGGCCACTGGCGTCGGGGCCGGTGCTGGCGCCGGCCGGTCGAGGACAACCTGTTTCGCGTCGGGACGGTCCGAGGCCGGCGAGCTCGCCGCCGGATTGTTCACTGTCCAGCGGAGCCGCGAGCGGCGGGCGTCCTTGCTCTGTTCGCCCGAGTAGAGCAGGGCGGCGAGGAGGGCGAGAGCGAGGAGGGCGGCGAGGGCGAGTCTGCTGCGCCGGCTGCTGCAGCACCCGCCGCGGGACACTGTGCCGTACACTCGTTCGCGGCGCATGGGGGGGGGGGGGGGGGGGGGGGGGGGGGGGAGGAGGAGTGACGTAGTGGGTGTGGGCTTGCGGCCAGCCGCCACGGGAAGAGGGGTCGATCAGAGGCAGGCTGCCAACAGGCAGGCATATGTAACAGGCAGGCAACGTGACAAACGCCAACCCGCGCGCGCGCAGGGGGGTGGGGTCGATCTTTACCTTTCCCAGTCACGCACCAACATCACGGGGCTTGCACTCGCACATGCTCAGAACAAGGTCTCATCTCCTCCACCATCCCCGCTCACCACAATGGCGCTCGACGTGCCGACGGCGCCAGTGTCCGAGTTACCAAACTCCAACACGCCAGCCTCGACCGCCGGCTGGGCAAGCTGCGCCTGGAGCTCCGAGCTGGCGAGGGCAAGGACGCCGGCGTGTGCCTGAACGCTCTCCATGAGCGAGTTGGGCCCGTTGAACGCGCCCGAGAGGGCAAGCTGGTGTGTCGTGGGCACGTCGGCGGGATCCAGCAGGTCGTCCTCGACGTTGCGCGAGCTCTCCACAAGCGACATCTCGGCCTCGACCGTCCGCGGATGGTGCGGGCCGAGCATGCCGGGGATGGCCGCCGCCATGTCCTCCGCCGCCTGGTTGGACTCCATCACCGCGAGCGCCCGGTCGTCCGAGTAAAACTTGTCGAGCGCCATCGCCTCGGCCCCTCCTCCGCTCCCGCCGGAGACCACCATCGACATCGAGTTGTCGTCGTTGCCGCCGTGCGACTGCCCGCCAAACGAGAGGATCGACGCCTCGCCGGTAAACGGATTGCCTTCGCCGCCGTATGCATCCGGGTCGTGCATGACAATTTCGCGCGATGGTGGCGCGAGCGCCATCGACTCGGCAAGCTGCCCGGGCGTCGGCTCGTTCGCCCTGCCGCGGCCGAGCGACGCCTCCATGGCCTCCTTCTCCACGCTCGCCGAGTACTGCCGGATCGAGATGAGAAAGTCGCGCATGTGCGACTTGAACGCCCCGGCGTCGCCCGAGAGCTGGAACATGTCGTCCACGTACGACACAATCTCCTCCGGCGCCACGTTGGCAAACGCGTTCGAGAGCAGGTCTGTCACGTACTTGCGCGCAAAGCTCTTGTTGTCCTCGCCCGGCGCAGACGCAGGGTCAAAGATCGGCGCAGAAATGGTGTCGCTCTCCACCAGCGAGAACATCAGCTGCAGCAGCTGGACCTGGAGCCGGAACCCGGTCTTGTGGAGCGTGTCCGTGAGGACCGCAAAGACCGCCGTCATGATGTTGAGGAAGAACGAGGCGTAGAACTCGTTGGCAACCTCCGAGCCGTTGACCCGGTCGAGGAGCTCGAGCAGCGACCGGACGCCCAGCTCGGCAATCTCCAGCTTGTGGTGCTCCATGGCCCACACCATGGCCTCCACAGTGTACTTGAACACGTCCGCTGAGACCATGAAAAAGGCCGGGAAGCAGTGCTCGTTGAACGCGCGCAGCATCTTGAAGAACGCAATCCGCACGTCCATGTGCGTGTCGTAGTCGTGCGTCACCATCTCGAGCGTGACCTCAAAGACTGCGTCGAGCACGTGCGGCACAACAGGTGTAAAGAGCTCCTTGAGGCTCCGCGCCATCGTCTCCATGAGCGCAAGAACCTCGGCGTCGCGCGCCTCGGTGATGATGTTGCGGTAGTCGTACAGCACAGCCTCCATCAGCGGCGGCACAAACCGCTCCACCACCAGCTGCCCATCGTTGGCCGACTTGACGTACGTGGCAATGAGAATGAGCGCTTCCTTCTTCACCGCGCGCATCAGCTTGACCTCCACACGCTTCGTCGCCACTTCTCCGTGCTCGGCAACCACGCTCGAGATCAGCTCCGAGTAGTAGTTGTAAACCGAGAGAATGTCCAGGTAGATCCCGCCCAGCTGCGAGAGGTACGCGTGGCCCATCGACCGCGCCGCAGCCACGTTGGTCCGCAGCAGGTCCGCCAGCGTCCGCATCGTCGACAGCTCGTTGAGCACGCTCGAGTCGTCCGCCGCGCTCGCCATCACCTGCGACCACACAGAGTTGGGCCACGAGAAGAGCGACGACGAGTGCTCGTCGCGCGCCCCAGCGTCCGGCTGGTCCGCAATCATGCACCCGATCGCCTCAAAGAACGTCTGGATCTGCGACGGCTCCAGGTGCTGCGTAATCGCCTGCAGCTGCGAGAGAATCGGCACAATAAATGGCTCGCTCTCCTGCGGCTGGACCGTCACAAACTTGCGCCGGCACCGCTGCGCAATCTTGAGGAACGTGTCGCACGCCATGTCCTGCACGCCCTCGTGCCGCTCGTGCATAAACTCAAACAGCTTGGTCACCACCGTCTTGAGGAACTTCCAATGCGCGAGGAGGAACCGCGGGTACTGGCCCACAACATACATGATGTTCGCCGCAATGACCGCCTTGTTGTCTTTCCCGCGCCGCATCTCGCACAGGCTCAGCAAGTCCTTGATCACGTGCACAAGGAACCGCTTCTCCTGCTCCACAGGGTACGCGCCAGAAATCGAGCCGATGGCCCAGCAGAGCGTCGAGATGTTAGCCCACGACCACTCGCGCCCGTTCATCTGCAGCACAAGCTTCGACTTCATGATCACCTCCACCTCCTGCGGGTCGAGGTTGGTGAGGAAGACCAGCGTGTCGCGCATCACCTTGTACAGCGCCATGGCAGACGTGTCCTTCGACCGCTCGCGCACAATGTGCCCGTTCTCGTCCTCCACCACAAGCACCTCCTCCGGCTTGGGCATCCGCTGGATAATCAGCAGCCGCATCGCAGAGAGGACAGGCTTGTACAGCTTGCGCCGCGCCGCTGCCGCCGCGTCCTCGCTCGTCGCCAGCGCCGCGTACGGGTTCGACACCACAAGCGCCTTGGACGCGCCCAGCACGCTCTTCGTCCCTTTGCCCGCTCCCATCCCGATGTACAGCGACCGCGCCAGCGCGTGCCAGTAGTCAAGCGTGATGCGGAAGACCTTGAGGTCCTGCACCGCAGAAATCCGCGCAAGCACCATGTGCCCCTCCAGCAGCACCTCGTGCGCCTCGCCGTGCGCCTCGAGCAGGTCGCGGTGCGCCTTGAAAAGCCGGTAAAGAACAGCGCCAGGTAGTGCACAAAGCCCTTCTCCTCCTCAGAGCCCATGTAGTATGCCTGCGCAATGTTCGTCGAGCCCGTGATCACCGCAGGCAGCTGCTCAGAGACAAACACAGAGTACAGCGCCACAAACGCCTCGTCGTACACGTTTGTCTTGACGCTCAGCGAGCCAATCTCCACAAGGCACTGCAGCGCAATGTTGCGGAACGCAGGGTTGGGGAAGAACTGCGTCAGCAGTGCGTTGACAATGTTCGTCTCGAAAATGTACCCCAGCGGAATCCAGTTGAGGAACTTGTGCAACGTCACAAGCGTCGCACGGACCAGAGACTCGGAGCTCGCCGCCTCGAGCACATACTGGCACAGGTCAAAGATCATCGAAAACTCCGAGTTGAGCCGCTCCTTGAGCGCCTGCACCTTGCCCGACACCATCTGCTCCTTCGAGTAGTCAAAGACCTCCTCCGAGAGGAACCGCAGAATCACCATGTTGTTCTCGCACAGCGACTCGGCTTTGTTCGACGCCTCAACGAGCTCAGAGATAAAGTTGGGCCAGTTGTGCGGCCACTCGTGCTTGAGAATCTCCACCAGCACCAGGTTGAGCCGAGTCAAATACGTTGCCTCTCGCTGCATCATCGCTGCGTCAGAGCTCATGTTCACCACAAGATCCACCACAAAGTTCTTCATCCCCTCGCGCTGGTCCTCCGGCAGCACGTTCCACTTGACCGTGATCGTCGACTCAAGCACGTTGCACGCAATGACCTTGGCCTCGTCGCTCTGCGCATACTGGAGAATCGTGTCCACACGCGTCCACGCCTGCGGATGCTCCTGGAATTGGATGAGCACCCGGTTGGCCTCGGCAATCTGCTCTCCATCAACTTGGTGAGTCCTTGCTGACCCTCGTCCCCCATGTCCCCCCTCCCCCCCTGCGCCCGCCCGCATCGCCCGGCCAGTGCCAATGGGCGAACATTCGCGACTACACGCGAAACTTCGTCTTTTCAAGAACCAATCTACGACCTTTTCGCTCTTGCTCTCTCGCCGGGCCGCCAACCCGCCAACTCGCCCGCCCTCCCGCCTGCTCTCGCCTCCCGCCCTGCCCTCTCGCCTCGCCTCGCGTCCACAAACGCCCTGCGCCTCGGCGCCGCCAGTTAGCGCCGCTCTCGGCCGGGGGAAAACGCCGCGGAGAGCACGCCCGCGACGCGGCAATTGGGTCGCATTGTCGATGGCGCGCCCTTCACCTCTCCACCGCTCGCACCCACACTGCTGGACGTACCTCTTCCGGCGAGCCTCTGAACAGGCAGTGGACCACGTTCTCGAACAAGTTGACATCTAGGTTGCTCGAAAAGTCCAAGATGCCCTCCATCTTCTTGGCTTTGAGACGAGTGTCGTGAGCAACGGCAGCAGTCTCGGGTGTGCCGCCCGAGCCAACCGGCCAGCAACTGGCGCTCAGCCCAGACTCACCTCGTGAATCGAATTTACGTTTTTGTATTTGATTGGCTGCGACCGCCAAGTCGCACTCGGCCCGCCATCGGACAACCGCTACAGCTCGATGTCTGGCGACTCGCCGCGGACTGGAAGCACCACCGACGGCATCGGGATTGAACTGGGGATGTCCATCGGTTGAGGCTGCGACTGCGGCTCCGGCGACGGCGGCGGCGGCGGCGACGGCCGCGGCTGCGACTTGATCTTGGCGGAAGCCGCCCCAGCTTCGGCGCGGCGCGCGGCAAGCAGCGCCAGCCGCGCCTTGCGGGCTTCGAGCTCACGCGCCCGCGGTGGCATTCGCACCACGTTGACCGCATACTCCAGGACCGAGAGCCCGACGGCACGGGCGAGGTCATCAAAGGCAGCCCGGAGCCAGGCGATGCGACGGGCGACCACCTCGGGTCCGACGTGAGCGAGCGAGGCTGCGGCGTGCGACGTGGCCCGCCCCGAGACCACGGCCTCGACCGACGAGTGCCCGACCATCGTCTTGTGCTGGATGACGTCAAGGACACCGAGCGCGGCGGCAAGCTGCGCGTCCGGGTCGCTGTGGCCAGAAGCGGCGGGAGCCTCGCTCCCACCGTCGCTCGCGAGGTCGTTGAGAAACGAGGCGTCGGCGATCTCGTACGACGAGGCACGCTGCGCCTCGGCGGCCTTGATCGAGCGGGTAAAGTGCTTGAGCGACGACGAGAGGAGGTTGATCATGCCAAACAGCTCGCCGTTGTTGATGTTGAGCACTGCAGTGTAGAACCGCGGCGGGAGCGCTCCGCTCGCCGTCGCCGTCGCCTCGTGCTCCTTGTACACCTGCCGGTTGTACACCAGCTCTTCGATGGTACCCGAGGCAATGAGCCGGAAGACCTCGACGTCATGGCTCTGCCCAATCCGGTACGCTCGGTCCTGCGCCTGCTTGTCAAACGCCGGATTCCAGTGCGGGTCAAAGATGATGACCTTGGTCGCCGCCGTCAGGTTGAGCCCGAGCGCCCCGGCCTTGCCCGAGAGCAGAAAGACCCGCTTGAGCGGCGAGTTGTTGAACTCTGTGACGAGTGCGTGCCGCTTGCGGAGCGAGACAGAGCCGTCGATGCGGCAATAGTCGGTGCCCATCGCCACCAGCGATGACTCGAGAATGTCCAGGATCCGCGTAGAGTACGAGAAGAGCAGGATCTTGGGTGGCGGCGACGCGGCTGCCCACTGGGTCAGCAGCGACCGGACAACCGCCATCTTGCCGCAGAGTTCCTGTGAGGAGAGTGCCAGCAGCTGAGCACCCCCGCGCTGCATCGCTGCTAGCAGCGCATGCGGCGGCGAGACCGACTCGAGAAACGCGGCGTCGCGCGCCTGCTTCTCCGCCTCGTCGCTTGCCCGCGGCAGGAGCAGGCCTAGGTGGTTTGCGATCTTGCCGAGCCGGACCATGACCCGAAACAGCGCGGGTTTTTCGTGCGGCAAGTCCTCTTTGCGAGCGGTCGACGCCACCGACGAGTGCGAGCCGGCGAGCAGCGAGGCAACTGCCGGCGACTCGAGCGTCACGCGGTAGGCGGTCATCTGCGCCCGAGTCAGCGGGCAGATGACTACGTACTCGGACTTGCGCGGCATGGTCCTCGCCACAACCGACTTGTCGCGCTGGAGAAGAACAACCCGCAGGCGCTTGACAAGGTCGGCGGCGGCGAAGCGGGCGGCGGCAATCTGCCCGTTGGTCGCGTCGGCCTTGCGCCCGGTCCGAATGACGGTCGCGGTCTTGGTCACAAACACGTTGTACGAGCCGAGGTGTCCGCGCGCCACAAAGTCGACAACCGTGTACAGCTCCTCAAGCTTGTTCTGCACAATCGTACCCGAGAGCCCGATCCGCGGGACCCGCGGCTGGAGCTTGTTAAGCTGAGAGTGGGTGACCGTGTCGGGATTGCGGAGGCAGTGGATCTCGTCAAAGACCATCACGCCGAGCTTCAGCTGCGAGAGCTCGTCAACCCGCCGCCGCGCCGTTCCGTACGTCGTCACTAGAATGTGCGGCCGAACGTGCGGCCCGAGAAGGCCCTGATGGAGCGCCGCCGCCCGTGCACTCTGCGATCCGTGATACACGCAAACGCGCAGGAATGTCCACCGCCTCACCTCGTCGCGCCACTGGTACATGACCGAGCCCGGCACCACCACCAGCGCCATGCATCGCACCTCGGACGTCCGGTCGACCATCGTCCCGCTCTGCCCGTTGAGCGCCGAGAGCAGCGCGAGTAGCTGCGTCGTCTTGCCCAACCCCATCGAGTCGCCCAGCAGCGCGCCCTTGCCGGCCGCCACCCGCGAGTAGAGGAACTTGACGCCCGCCACCTGATAATCGCGCAAATGCACCGCATAGTGTCGGTTAATCGCTGTCGTCGCGTCGAGATAGATCGGAAACGTCGCCTCCTTGCCCTCGGGCAGCGGCAGCGCCGGCCGAATGTCGTCGGCCGAGAGCGGCGAGGCCGCATCGGTGGCGAGCGGCGATGGCGGAGGCGGTGGGGACGGCGGCGGGGAGGGGGGTGGCGGAGAGACACTCTGACTTCGCTTGCGCTTCGACTTGGACTTTGGCTTTGGCGACGTCTTTGGCTTTGGCGACGGCTTGGGCTTCAGCTCGGGCGACGGGGGAGCCAAGAGTGCGCGGCGACGCTCGGCGAACCGTTTGGCGCTGGCGGCGCGTGCCTCGGCCTGGCGCTGCAGCAGCAGATCGATGCGGTCGAGAGGAGGAGATGGGGAGGTTGGTGCGGGAGGTTGGCGGAGGAGGGGCGAGGCGGGCGGCGAGGCGGGCGACGAGGCGGGTGGCGGCAGGTGGAGCGGCGACGGGACGGCGGCCGTGAGCAACGCCAGACGGGCGGCGAGTGAGGGGCGGGCGGCGGGCGGCGAGGCGGCGGGCGGCGAGGCGGCCGTGGGATGGCGCGAGACTGCCCCAGGCACCGGCGTTGTCATTGCAGGCGGGGATGCGTCGGGCGCTAGCCGGTGGAGGATGGGCAAGGGCGGCGGGAGAACGGGCGCAGGCGCAGTGAGCGGCTTGCGGCGCTTGCGGCGGGCATGAAGCGCGGCGAGGCCATCCAACCCGTCGTCCATACCGGGCAGGCGGCGCAGAGAGCGGTGGCCAGGCGGAGGCGGGGGCGCAACACGGTTGCCAAAAAGGTCGTGGTTCTGTGCCAGGTCGGCCGAGTGGCGAGTGAGCGACGGACGAAATGGGTCGGTGTCGCGCTGGGCCAGCCCGCGGCGTGGAGGGAGCAGCCGGCGGCGGAGGGGCAAACACTTGCCCGGTGCGACAGCGAAGGGGTCGGCAGGCAAGCACACAGATGTTCAGACTCGCAAGTACGTGGTGCGGGGGCGGGCGGGGGACGAGCGGAGTGCGAGCGGGGGGCCACGGGGAGCCAAGAGGCGCGAGACGGTAGCCGCTCGCGGTATGCGCCCCATCCCGGGTGCGGGGCGGGGGGCGGTGGTGACTGACAAGGCGGGCCGGGTGGATGGCAGCGGCTGGGGTGCGGAGCGCGGGCGGAGCGCGGGCGTGGGCAGCGGCGGGCGCGCAGGCGTGGCAGAGTACAGCGGCGCAGGGCGTGGAGGTGACAGAGTCCGGCGAGGTGGTGGTCGCCCCGGACTCGGGGATCAAGTGGGTCTCGCTCGCGCCGGTGGTCGACGAGGTGGACCCGGCCGAGGTCGAGGCTGCGGCGGCGCACCGCCGGGTTGGCATGTATCTGAAGATGTCGCGCCGGCAGATCCAGCGCCGGTACAAGCGGCTGTACCGGTCGACGCTCAAGCTGGCCAAGCGCAAGAAGACCGCCAAGGTCGCCAAGAACTCGGTCCGCATCCGCGAGCTGGAGATGTTCATTGCCGCCGCCGGCGGCAGCCTCACCGACGAGCACATGAAGCCGTGGACGATGGCCAAGCCTTCTGAGGACGCCTATCGTGCCCAGGAGGCCGCCGTTGCCTCGTCGATTGCCGAGTGGAAGGACGTGTTCTCGCGCGAGGAGCAGCAGCGGACCACCAAGGGCAACGTCATGCTCGACATCTTCAAGGGCGAGTTTGACGCATGAGTAAACGTGTTCCAGAGCTTCGCTTGTGGATATGGTGTGGGTGCCCGTGTGCCGCAAACGCAGAGCGGCGACGAGATTTTCAGGGGGGGGGGGGGGGGAGGGGTTGAGCGCCTAACTCAATGACAGGGTATCGCAAAGCGCCTAGCGCCACAGTCCACGTAGCTGCGATTGTGTGCTATGTAGGGTGGCGTGATGGGCTGTGTGGGAAGGCTGGATCTGCGGGGAAAGGGCCGAGAGGAGCGTTCTCGCGGAGCCGGTATGGACAGCTAGCTTGTCAGCTATACACTTATATAATTCTATTGTTTGTGGCAAAATAATTAGAATATAATGTTTGTAACTACAATTTCTTAACATTTGTAATCGAAATCATATATTTATATTTTTACGACACTAAAATGCATTTTTGGCTCTTTTTTGGCATCATTGTTTGCGGTCGTCGGTCGACCTGCATTGCCAGCGTCATGTGTCACGGCGTTGGACGTTAACGCCGTGATATATATGATGTCACGGCTGATCGTCACCCTCCTTCACCACCACCCCCTGACTCGATCAACGCGGCGGTGGCGGCCGGCATTGTGGCAGCTGGCCCGATCGACGTCGTTGTCAACAACGCCGGCCCAGGCATGGGCGTCGGCCTTACCGAGGCGGTCACGCCTGAGCAGCCGAGCCAGCAGCTCGACGTCAACGTCATCAGCGTCCACTCGTCAACATCTCGGTCGTCATCGGCCGCAAAGGGCCTCCCGTTCATGACGGCGTACATCATGTCCAAGTACGCGCTCGAGACGACGAGTCCATCTTTGTCGCTCCCGGACAAGTCCTTCGACACCTTTGGCAAATCGCTGCAGGGCGAGGACGCACCGGACCCACAGGATGCCGCCCGACGCCGTCGCCGAGATCACCGGCTTCGGCGCCGATACCACATTCCACACCGTCGCCGATCCCGGTACCGGTGGCGCGCCCGACATCGTCTGTTGCCCTCAACAACCTGTCAGCCTCGTCGGCCAAAGCCGCCTCTCACACCTCTACTGCTGATGGTCATGTGACCACCAGCTCGCTTGCTCCCGCTCTCGCACCTGTCGCCGCCCACGCGGCGTCACACCCATCTCCCATGCCGCACACACTCGCTCTCGCTGCACTGCGGTAGCGCTCGTGCTCGCCTGCGCCACACCGGCTGCCATGGCATGGACGCCCATCCAGCTGAGCATGCAGTTCCTCGGCAAGTGCACTCCGCCGGTGCAGTCGACGGTCTCGTGTGCGTACCTCGCGACCTCGCAGCAGATCACGACGACGCTGGCCACAACCGGCCGCGGCCGGGTGGCCTCGGTCGCCTTCGACAACCTTAGCCCAGTCCAGGGCTCGGTCATGTACTACGACACCATTACCTTTCACGCCAGCGGCCTGACCCACGAGGCCGGCAACCTGACGTTCTCGCCCGCGCCGCCCGCCCACCGCGCCGCCCCGAGCCCGGGCGCTGCCCCGCTGCCGCCGGATGCCTCGGTCCTGTACTACGAGACCTTCCCGGATGTGCCCGGCGTAACGATCTCCAACCCGCCGGGCGAGATGTGCGGTTCGGCGACGTACAACATCACCGGCGGCTACGGCGCGTACGCCACCGCCCGCGGCGCCATCACCGCCATCGGCTGCATCGTCCCCAACGGCGCCGGCTCGTTTGACGGCTCATTTGTCGTCACCGTCGCCGGCTGGATGCCGTGACCAACCGCGCCCAACCCGTGCCCACCCATGCCCACCCACGCCGATGTCACACTATGTGTGCCCTCTCGCCCCCCCCCCCCCCTCCTCCAGCCGCAACCTGCCACTTTCTTGAATTCAGCCCCCACCCACCACCACCAACCGTCCCACCGCAACACTCCTCTCTCTCCCTCTCTCTGTCTCGTCCTCATGGGCGACGTTGCTTCAGACGTCCACATGCGGTTTGCCGAGGCCGACTGCGTCCCGGCCTGGGAGCGCCGCCGGGTTCCGCGTGGGTACAGCGTCGACCTGGCGACGCTGGGCCTCACCGCCGGCCCACAGGCCATGGGCGCAACCGTCGACCGCGACGCGGGCATGCACCCGACACGGCTGGACACCGCTCTGTGGACAATCACCATCGCAGACCGCGTCGTCTACCGCGCCTGGCTCGACAAGTCCGAGGTTGTCGACACCGCCCTCCGCATCTTCACCGGCGAGCTGCTCCCGGCCGACGACAATCACAACGCCGCTGCTCCGTCCACACAGCCTGCGCCCACTCAGCCTGCGGGAGCCGATCCGCCCACGCTCAAGGCCTTGAGGAGTGGCATCCTGTCCGGTGCCCGATCCGCGGTCTCGGGGCTGAAGTCCGCCGGCGTGCCCAGGCCCGATCCGCGGCTCGTCGCCCCCGAGCGCGCCAAGCGCGCGCTCTCCGTCATGGTCTGCGACCGCACGTCGGTGCCAACCTCGGTCTCGCCGGTCCGGCTTGTCGGCTACTCTGTCAACGGCCTAAGACTCCGGGCCAGGATCCGCAAAAGCTTGGCGTCCATCCCGATGCCGGCTGGTACTGCTACGCGTTTGTCGTCGGTTCCACTACTGCCCACTGCGGTTGGTACGCCCATGACGAGGTTGAGCTTGTTGCCCACTACCTCGTCCAGGACATCAACGCTGGCGTCGAAACATACACCGGCGCCAACGGCTACTACGGGCCGGTGGCTAGCAACACGTCAGCCTCGCCGTACAAAGGTAACGGACTCGTCGGCGTTGACCCGATGTCGTCCCAGGTCCAGGCCAAGCGCGCGGCCGAGGCTGCGGCCGTCGATCCCGTCGACCGCGCCGCGCCCTCGCCAGACATGCGCGTTGTGCTTGATGGCTACATCACCGACGGTCTTGAGCTCGTTGCCGTCGTCGACTCATCCAAGGGCATGCACCCGACGCTCCCCAGCGCCGCATTCTACTCCATCCGCGCCTTTCCGGGCGCAAAAGTCCCGTTTCGCGGCTGGCTCATCCGCTCTGAAGTGCCGCACGTCGCCAATGCCCTTGTCACTGGCACCTCGACCGCTCGTGCGAAGCCGGCTAGCCGCGCATCCGATGCCAACGACAAGGCCAAGAAGGCCAAGAAGGCCAAGGCCAAGGCCAAGAAGGCCAAGACCAAGGCCAAGAAGAAGACCAAGACCAAGGCCGAGAAGAAGACCAAGAAGCGCGAGCCGTTTGACCTAGAGTCGATGCTCAAGTCGGGCAACCTCGACGACCCGACCTCCAGCGCAGCGGCGGCCATCAATTCGACCAGCGACGCGTCCCTGATACATACAGCAGACAGCAGGAGGGTATCCACGGCGAATCGCTCGGGGAAGCCTGCCAGCGACGACAACCCGTCGCTGCTGCCGTCACCGCCTCCGGGCGAACTGCCTCCTGACGTCCTCTCGGTCATGTTTGACCCCACCGACCCCCTGGCCAAGCCAGCGGTCGTCAACAGCATTGCCGACCTTGTCGCTGGTGATCTCTCTCCGGAGATCAGCAATCGCCTCTTCCTCGACCCAAAGCCCAAGACCAAGTCCACGCCCAAGTCCAAGCCCAAGTCCAAGCCCAAGTCCAAGCCCAAGTCCAAGCCCAAGTCCACACCCAAGTCCACCCCCAAGCCCAAGCCCAAGCCCAAGCAACATTCCCCTTCCGCAGATTTCGGCGACGACGGCCCGCTCTTCTCCGACAATGACGACTTTCAGCCGTCCCTCCCACCCCCACCCCCTCCTCCCGCCCCCGCCCCGACCTTCCTTCCGATCACCACCCTGCTCGACGCCGTCAAGGTGCTTCTCGGCGAAGACGCAAACAGCCAGTGGATGCTCTCCTCGCCCGACATCCTGGGCGGCGTCGCCAAGAGCTTTGAGAAGAAGCGAATGACGCTGACAGTGCCCAACGCGCCTGGTCTGGTCATCCACATTGTGACGGCCCACAGCGGCAAGCCGCACACCGAGCACGGCTTCATCTACCCGTCGTTCATCACCGCTGGCCCCTCCGTCGACCGCATCGTCTACACTGGCTGGTCATCCATTGTCCAGCTGCACGCCAAGGCGGTCGAGCTGTGCCAGTCGCCGGCCACTGAGGTCGCCAGCTCACCGTCCAGGCCGACGTCCAACGCCCGCGCCGCTGCCCCGTCGCCGGCCCGCAGCACTCCGCCCCGGCAGGCCGCGCGCCGGACCTCGTATGTGGCCATCGGCTCGTCCGAGTCCGAGGTCGGTTCCAACGACTTTTCGTCCTCCTCTGACTCTGAATCGATCTACTCGCCGCCGTCCAAGCCCAAGCGCAAGCGGCCGCGCCGGTCATCGACCGCGTCCTCCCGCTCGCCGAAGCGCGCCAAGGGCCTGTAGCGGATACTTGCCCATTGAAGCGCGCGTGCTAATTGGATCACATTCGTCGTGTTACTTCTACATTCTTTCTCCCAACTACTGCTGCTACTGCTGCTGCTGCCGCTTCTGGTCCTCGGCAAGCAGCTCGTGGTACGACGCGCCCCAGTTGACGTCGTACAGCGCAAGCCGTCCGCGGGCGTCGGTCGTCGCTAGCACGTCGTCGCCGACAAATGACACCGCGACCTTGGCGGCCGGTGCCGCGGCGTCGAGGCCTGGCATCCTGAGCGTCCCGCGGTAGCACATGATCGACTCGCCCTGCTCCCACAGCGAGGCGCCGTACATGCCGCACGACGCCATCTTGCCTGCTCCCGGCGCTAGCGCGAGCTCGCCTGCCACACGCAGGCCCGGATCGTCGAACGAGGTGTGCAGCGGTTGGGCTGTGTTGCGCAGATCGACCAGCTCCATCCGCCCGCCGTCATATCCGACGACCACCAAGTCGTTGAGCAACTCGGCGTGCGCATATGCCCGCCGCCCGCCGCCGCCCTGGTACCGCAGCACCGGCGTGCCGAGCTGCGCGTCCGGCGCCCGGCTGTCGAACCCGTACAGATGGCCCGACGACTCGGCCGAGGCCAGGATGACGCCCGACCCGCCGCGCCGCCACGAAACTGCCGCCACAGGCTCCGGCAGCGTGATCCGCTGCACCGTCTGGCTTCCCGCCCGCGGCGCGTCGCGGCAGTACCGCGCCACGTCGGTCACCACCACCCGCCCGCCCTCGCCACCCGAGAGCAGCAGGTTGCTGTCCCACGGACACATCGCCATCTGGCGGATCGCGCCCAGATGCGAGTCGGTGGACGCCATCAACTTCTCGTTAAAAAAGGTCTCCCAGTCGTCAACAATAATCAGCTCGATGTTCGACCCCACAGCCGCAAAGATGTGCTGCTCGTCGCGCCAGCAGACGTCGGCCACCGCGTCCATCACCGAAATCCCCATAAACTCATCATGGATCTGCCATGTCTCGGTGCTCACCGCCCCAAAGATCAGCCTGTTCTTCCGCGGATTGTCCACATTCTCTGTGCCCACCACATACCGATCACCAGCAGGCGAGAACGCCGCCCGCGAGATGCTCCGCGGCAGGCTGTCTGCAAGACACTCGTCCGCCACGTTAACCTCGCTCAGGACCGGGACTCCGATCGGCGCGGGCGCATCCTTGGGCCCGACCCGCATTCCACCATCCCTGCCGGCCCCACCAACCGACTTGAGGTGCTCGCTCACCAGCTCCATCAGGACCGAGGTGTCCGAGTCGAGCGAGGCCTCGAGCGAGGAGATCATGCCGGCGGCGTCGTCGAGCGACGCTGCGCCGTCCATGAGCCGGCGGTAGACGTCAGCGAACTCGGCCGACGACGACGGCCCGGTGCCTTCGGTGCCGGCGACCGGTGTCTCTGCCATCGCCAGCGTCGCCAGGTTGAGCGGCGCCTCAAACGCCGCGTCATCGACCGACGGCAGCTCGGTCGAGCCAAAGATGTCGCCCAAGCCGGCGTAGACCGAGTTGTCGGCGCCGCCGGGTAGCGCCATCTGTGCCGCGGCCTCGGCTCCAAGCGTCATCTCGATGACCTCAAGCGTCGAGAAGGTGTGCGGATCCATGCTCTAGGTACGAATGTTCGGGATGGTCAGGTGCAGGCCGCCCAAGAGCCAACGGCTGGAGTGTATGGAGCCAAATCGGGCAAGCTCCCGGCAACCTCGAACCGCTCGCTTTTGACTTGTCCGACGCGCAAGTGAGTGACAGCCACCCACACCGCATCACCACCGCCACCCACAGCACCGATCATAGCCCCCCACGCCCCTTCCCCTACAATCTACAACCTACAACCTTGACCCTGACCACTCTCCCCCCATCCCCTGCATACCATGCCCATGCCCATGCCCATCCCCTACCATCCCCTACCATTCAATGACAATGATTGATAATTGTCATCGACAGATCATTGCGTTGCCTTTGCGAATCCTGCCACGTGCCACAACCACCTCCTGCCACTCACCGTCCCCCACATCTGCCACGTGTCACGTCAGCCGCCACATCTGCCACGTGTCACGTCGGCCGCCTCTCCCCCTCCCCTCCCCCTTCCCCCTTCCCCCTCCCTCCCTTCCCTCCCCCTCCTTCCCCCGCCTCCCGCCCTCTTCCTCCCTTCCCCTCCCTCCCTTCCCCCCCCCCCCCCCGCCCTCCCCTCCCTTCCCCAATCACCCAATCCTCTCCTCCCTGGATAACTCCAATCTCCGCTCGTTCCACTCCAATCACAGCCACAAAAACGACGAAAAGCCCCTCGGTCACCCCCCCCCCCTTCCTCTTCCCCTTCCCCTTCCCCTCGCCCCATACACCACCACGTCCACACCCCACTCTATGAACGACACAAAGACAATGCTCCGCTCGCTTGCTTCGTCTGCCACTGCTGCTATGGCCCCGCTTGCCCGTGCCGCCTCCAGGGCACCGGCGGCACAGCCGTGGTCGTGGGACCCCAAGGACACGGTCGGTGGCCCGTCGACCTGGCACGCCACCTACTGCCCCGGCCACGCCCAGTCGCCCATCGACATTGTCAAGGGTGATGCCGTGGCGGTTGCCGGTCCGGCCCTGCGCCTTGTTCCGCCGACGAGCGGCTCGGTCTCCGGCTCTGTGGCCAACACCGGCAACCAGATTGTCCTCACCCCCGACGCCGATGCCAAGACCTCCATCGTCGACGGCCTCTTCCGCGGCTCGCCCGATGACGCTACCTTCTCGCTCGCCAACATCCACTTCCACACCCCGGCCGAGCACGCTGTCGATGGCGTCCTCGCCGACCTCGAGGTCCACGTCGTCCACCAGGCCGATAACCCGGACGTCGATCGCTTTGCTGTTGTCGGTCTGCTGTTCAACGCCGATGACTCGGCGCCCGAGTCCCCGCTTCTCTCCGCCATTCTCTCGGCGTCAGAAGAGTACGCCGAGCCGCTCTCTGAGCCGACTCCGCTCGCCGTCGACGCCGCCGCCATCACTGAGCTTGTCGGCGACTCGCCTTACTACGCCTACCCGGGATCGCTCACCACCCCTCCACTCACCGAGGCCGTCTCCTGGCTCGTCATTGCCAACATCCACAAGGCCCCGGCGTGGCAGATTGAGCAGCTGACCCAGATCTTCCCGTACCCGACCAACCGCCCGGTCCAGCCCGTCAACGACCGCGTCGTTAACATCGTCACTCCGTAAACCCCGGCTGCTGCGACTCGCTCGATTTCATTTACGTTCAGAGGAAGAGCGGGCCCATGACAAGCGTGATCGTTGCCAACAGCTTGATCAGCACGTGCAGCGACGGGCCGGTCGTGTCCTTGAACGGATCGCCGACCGTGTCGCCTGTCACCGCTGCTTTGTGCGCCTCCGAGCCCTTGCCACCGTGGACTCCGGTCTCGATGTACTTTTTGGCGTTGTCCCACGCCCCGCCCGCGTTGTTGAAGAAGAGCGAGCAGAGAATGCCCGTCGTCGTCGCCACCATCAGGAAGCCTGCTAGTGCTTCGGGGCCCAGCAGCGGCGAGCTACAGCCAAACACTCCGCACCCGATCCGGAAGCTGAACCCGAGCACCAGCGGCGCACACACAGATAGCAGGCCCGGCTTGATCATCTCTCGCAGCGCGGATGCCGCCACAATCGCCACGCACCGCGCGTAGTCCGGCGACTGGCTGCCATCCATGATCCCTGGTCGCTCCGCAAACTGCCGTCGCACTTCGACCACAACCTTGGCCGCAGAGTTCCCCACCGCTGCCATCGTCCACGCCGAGAACAGAAAGACGAGCGCCCCGCCAAGGAGCCCACCCACAAACACTGCGGGCTTGGCAAAGTTGACCACATCAAACGCCGTTCCCGAGTACTCGGAGATGACGTCCATGAACGCCCGGAAGAGCAGAAAGGCCGCAAGCCCGGCAGAGCCGACCCCGTAGCCCTTGGTCACCGCCTTGGTCACGTTGCCCATCGCGTCCAGCGAGTCGGTGATCGCGCGCACACGCGCAGGCTGGTGCGACATCTCCACAATCCCGCCCGCATTGTCGGCAATCGGCCCAAACGTGTCCATCGCAAGCACGTACACTGCTGTCGACAGCATGCCCATCGTCGCCACCGCTGTCCCGAACAGTCCGCCGCCCGGCAGCGCACGCTCTCCGAGCCCATACGACGCCAGAATACCCACAGAAATCGTGAGCGCAGGCAGCGCCGTCGACTCGAGACCCTTGGCCACGCCCATGATGATGTTCGTCCCGTGGCCCGTTGTCGATGCCTGCGCAATCGCTCGCACCGGTCCGTACGCATAGTCGGTGTAGAACTGCGTGATGTAGAGGAAGGCAAACGAGACACACACCCCGATGTACGAGCAGAGCGTGTAGTGCCACCACGCAGATGGGTACGCCTCGCAGTACAGCAGCGAGTAGGTGAGCACAGTCATGGCAAAGACCGCAAGGCCCAGTGAGACCATGTACCCACGCTTGAGCACCGCTAGCGGATCCTCCAGCCCGGCCGTAGGATTGCCCGCGCCCGCCGCACTCGACAGCTGCGAACTCGTCTTGACAACCATCACACCTACCGACGACACCACAAGGTCCACAGAGTGCACCACAAGTGGGAAGAACATGAACGAGACCGGCGACTCGAGCGAGAGCTCCTGCGCCAACGTCCCGCCGATGATCATCGACCCGATGATTTCCGCCGAGATAGACTCGAACAGGTCGGCTCCACGCCCCGCGCAGTCGCCTACGTTATCGCCCACAAGATCCGCAATCACCGCAGGATTGCGCGGGTCGTCCTCCGGAATGCTCTGTTCCACCTTGCCCACAAGATCCGCGCCCACGTCCGCAGCCTTGGTGTAGATTCCACCACCGACCTGTGCAAACAGCGCCACCAGCGACGCCCCAAATCCAAAGCCGGTCATCAGGTGCGGGATTTGGTGCACTGGAAGGGCAGGGTGGAGAATGCGGTTGACCACAAAGAGCGAGCAGAGGCCAAAGACCACAAGAATGACCACAAGCAGGCCCGAAAACGCACCGCCGCGGAGCCCGACCTGGATCGCGTCGTTGTACGATGCTCGCGCCGCAGCTGCAACACGCAAGTTCGCCCGCACAGCCATCCACATCCCCACATACCCCGAGAGGCCCGAGCACACCGCCCCGACCACAAACGACACCGCCGCTGTTGCCGCAAACGTCAGGTTCGACAGCTCCACAGGCTGGACTCGGCCCGCGCTGCTCCCGCTCTCACCCTCACTCCGGACCGCCACAGGCGCAGGCGGCGGCGGCGGCATGCCGACCGGTGTCACAGACTCGGCCGGCGCCACCGCTGCAGGTCGGAACAGGTACAGCACAAAGACTAGGACCGCCGTCGCGACCGCAATCTTGGCGATCGCCGTGTACTGGGTCGAGAAAAAACCTTCGGCGCCCTCGCGGATTGCCCGCGCCACTTCTTGCAGCTCCTGTGAGCCTTCCGGCCGTGCAAGGACCCACAGGCCGAGCCACGCTGCAAACACTGCCGAGCCGACGCAGAGGAGCAGGACAAAGAGCACCACAAACCCGTCCCACGCCGCAACCACAAGGCCGAGCACCGCCAGCACCGCCACCAGCACCCCGACCGAGACCACAGCAGACTTGTGGCTCGTCAGCGACGACGCCAGCGCCGCCTGCAACATCGTCATCGGCGGCTCGCGCAGATTGAGCAAAAGCCCGCCTTCATCTCCGCTTCCGTCTCCGCCCCCACCAAACCCACCGCCGCCTTCCTCCAGCTCATACCCAACAGGCACCGCATCCAGCACCGGATTACCACTATCCGCTCCACCAGCATTGCCACCTCCCAGTCCAACACCACCAGCGCCCATCGCAGTCATCGGCCCTGGCAGCGGTGGCAGTCCGTTGGAGAGCCCACCGTCCGAGCTCACATCCAGCTCGAGATCAAACGACGACATAGTGTCCAAGCTCAATTTCACACACTCAAACCAATCGTGTTCTTGACCGCGCCTTTTCGCCACTCGCCGTCACCAGACTCGTCCGCCTCTTTCGCTTGCCCAGCAGCGTTTTCTTCTGTTGTAAGCCTTCCTTTTGACTCCAGCTACGACTCCAGCTGGTCGTTTCGTTGTTCACTGACGAAGCGAAACTGTTCCACCGGAAGCGGCAGCACCAAGTTGGGTACAGGGGAGGGTGGGCAGAGGGTGTGTGACAAGTGTATGGAGAATGGGGGGGTGAGGGGGGTGACAAGACCTCCTTCTATGTGTGGGGGGAGGGAGGGAGAGTGAGTGAGTGAGGTAGTGGAGAATGGGGCAGAGGGGAGTCGGCCTGCAGTGGCGGGAAAAGGGGCGACACGCAAAGCGGCAGGGGCTCCGACGGGTGACAGGCGGCAGGGGTCACGGGGGATGGGTGTGTGGATTCGGTGGCTGCGGTGGGTGGGTGGGTGGAGGAGGGGTCGAGTTTTGATGGAGGGCGACAAGCTGATTACCCATACCCTATTGCTGATGTAGGTATTGAGAGGGTGTCGGTCTGTGCGCGACCAGCTAGCCAAAGGTGTCGCTGCCGACAAGCGATGAGGTGGCGATGGAGGCGCGGTGTCGGTGGCCTCGGCGGCGTGTCGACGAGCGCCGACGCAGCGGCGTGCCGGAAGCTGGCGAGTTGCGGCGGCGCTTGCTTACGGACGGCGATCGGGACGACCGATTCGATGAGGCGACCCGGGAGCGGGCGGTGCCGAACCGCGGGTCGGAGCCTCCACTTCGGACAAGCGGCGGCTCGCGCGAGGCGAGCTCGCGGATCCGGCGCTGCTGGGTGGTTAGAATGATTTCCCCTGCCGACGAATGCAGGGCCGACTCGGAGGCTTCGCTGCGGCTACCGTGCAGCTGGCCGAGGTCATCGCCAGACGGCTCGGTAAAGTCGCGGACCATCCTCGAGCTGGAGCTCGACGACGACTTGAGGTCCTTGGCCATGGTGGGCGGCACGGTGGCAAGCGGCGATCGCGACCGGGTCGGCGCACTGCTGGAGGTTGATCCCGAGCCGGAGCCCGAGCCCGAGCCACTGAGCAGCGAGAGGCCCGACGAAAACGGCATGGCGGCGTTGACCGACGAGAGTGACGCAGAGAGGCCCAGCGGGAGGACCGGACGGTGGGCCGAGGGTTCGAGCTCGACAGCATGTGCGGCAGCGACCGCCGCCCGCTCCCGAGCTCGGGTCCAAGCCGCCAGCACGCAGCCGCCGACACCGACGCACACAAGCACTGCGAGCGTGGTATACGAAAGCTCCGCGCGTGCGGCACTGAACAGGCCAGTGGCCACGCCGTAGTTGACGACCGTGACTGCTGCGGCAACAACCATGTTTGCCGCGGTGGCGTAGCTCCGCCAGGCGGCCACAAACGGCTGGGTCGAGAGTACACACACTGCCATCAGTAGCAGCGCCGTGACGGTGAGCCCGACCAGGGCGCCGGGTGCGTCGCGGAGCACGCCGCCGCCGAGACCGAGCACAAAGTACAAGCCAAACTGGACAAGCTGCCACAGGTACATCCCGCCGCGGTACGGCTGGTACAACATGCCGTACCGGGCTGCTGCTGCGGCAATGTCGTCTGCGCTGGCAGCCGGCACCGAAGACGCGCTCCGTGTCGCTGACATCGTCCGCGCCGCCTCGTCCATCAGATCGCGCTTGGTTGGCGCAAAGACGGCGACGCCTGCCGCACGCAGGCCACGGACCTTGAGTAGGACCCAGACCGGAAGACCGATAGAGTAGGTGACAAAGCCGAGCAGGGCGATGGCAAACATAGCAATATGTCCGCCGGCGAGACAGGTCATGTCGCGCGAAGCGGCCACAACCCACACACGGCCCTCGGGCTTCTCAACAGGCACGCAGAGGAGAGCCTCGGCAAAGACTTGGGTAACTGTCATGTACATGATGGTGCCGTAGACAATCGGGGCGCGGATGCGACGGGCGGCGTAGAACGCGCGTCGCCGCGGCCACACTCTCCGCACCACCGCCATGCATCCGGCCATGACAAGAAGGACCAGGACACAGACCGCGAGCGTGGCATAGAAAACGGCCGAAAACGAGCCGGGCAGGCCCTGACAGCCGGGGCGGACCGACCGAAAGTCGAGGGCAACGACCGAGAGAATCTCGTAGAGCAACGAGAGCGAGCCGGTCATCGACGCAGCATTGGTCTTGGCCACTGTGTAGAGGATGATGACGCCAAGCAGGAGCTGGACAGCCAGAGTCAGCGGTTTGTCGCGAAGCAGGACAGCACCGACCACAAAGAGGCCGCAGAAGACGACGTTGGCCAAGATGAGGGTGACAAAAACCGACGCGGATGACCCACACGGCATGCATGCCGCGCCGAGCTTGTAGTAGCCGGCTGCACAATCGGCACAGGCCGACCCTGTGTAGCCGGCGCCACAAGACGCCTTTCGCCCGCCAGGACACCGCCGCCGGGCAGGCTCGGAGCATGCAATGACGTACGCGGCGTCTTCTGCCTCGATCCAATGACCTGACAGCGCCCAGACCCGGTAGCCGCCAGGACAATCGCCACCGCCGGGACACGGCTTGCACTGGTCACCGCGACCAAAGGTGCCCTCAACCGGACAGTCGTTGGTGAAGAACATGTCACCAAACTCGGTAAAGACGCCGGTGACCGGGTCGCGGAGCGTGATGGTCTTGTACCCGGCCGTGGACACCGGCGGCGCATCAAGCAGAAGCAGCGAGCCATCGGGGGCAAACGTGACGTTGGCGCTGGCACCAGGCAGCGCGTCGGCAACCTGGACAATGAGGCGCGAGTGCAGAAACTTGCCAGCGAACCGGAGCAGCGTGCCATCGAGCGGCGAGACCCGCGGCGAGTAGTTGGTGATGGCTGGCCAGCTGACCGGGTAGCCGCCAAGAACCAAGCTGGAGGAGAGCTGGGCAGTTGGCGCAGTGTCCGGAAGGGCTGCGCCGGCAGCAGCGTAGCCTCGGGCGGTCGAGGCCGCGGCGTCCACGGTAGCGACCAAGTCAAAGACGATGCCGTTGTCGAGAGCGACCGAGGCCGAGAGCGCGACGCAAACTGGGATGCCTGTGGCCCACGCCGGCGAGTCGGCGCCAAAGACAAGGCTCAACTGGGTCTTGGCGTCAAGTCTCGTCAGCGCTGCCGAGTCGAGCAGGACCGGTGCGATGGGGACGTCGTCAGCAGCGGCGTCGCCAAGCAGGAACCGGACCGCCGGATGTGAGGCCTCGACGACGACGGTGACCGAGGCCTGGACAGCCGGATCGGACGTCCAAGGCGCTGAAGCGAGGCCAACAGAGGTGCACACAACATGGCCGGCCTGCGAGACAATGCCGACCGGTGTGACGGCCAGCGACGGGAGCGAGGTGCCGGGCGTGGGGAAGGGTGGCATGACACCCGGAGGGTAGATCGGCATGCCAAGGACGATGCCGACCGGCGTGGCGTCAGAGACATGGACTGCAACCGAGCCGGTGGGCATGCTGGCGTATGCAGGATCCTTGGAGACCGGCGGATTAAGAACAAGGGCGAGGACGGCGAGGTCCTCTCCGGCAAAGTTATCGCTCGGGGCGGAGAGGACAAGCGACTGGAAGATGTTGAAGTTGGCGGCGGTAAAGACAAGCGGGGCCGCCGGCGTGAGGACAGCAGTGCCGGCAGCGTTGGGGCCGATCGAGAACGAAATGGAGACGTCAGCGCTTGGCGGGACAGAGAGCTGGACAAGGAACTGAAGCTGCGAGCCTTCAGCGAGCAGGAGCGGCTCGCCACCGGGAGCCACCTCAGACTTTGTCAGCGCGTCGACAACAACAATGTGCGCTGATTTGGCACCCCATGATCCCGAGAGTGGGGGCGAAGGGTTGCTCACGGCGCCAGACGTGCCGGCGGCATTAGTGACTGCCGGACTTCCAGTCGGTGTGATTACAGAGACGCCCGGCTTCATCGGAGAGGTGGCATCGGCTGACGAGACGTTGACAACCAAGGCTGCGCCGTCGGCAGACCACACACCCGAGATAGCGGTCCCGAGCGCAGCGACCAACGAGACGCCTGGCTCCTTGTCGCTTGAAGAGACGGAGAACGCCTTGCCAAGCGCGGTGGCGGTCGACATGTCGGGCGTATTGGTCGCCTCGGAAAAGTAGAGGGTGAGCGTGTCTCCCACGCCCAACACCGTGTCCCCGTTGTCTGGATCGTTGGCCACCACCAATTTGAGCCCTGGTGTCATGCCAAGGACTCCTGGCTTTGGTGGCGCCGGACTAGGAGCCGGGGCCACTGTTGGGGCAGGGGTCGGGGCCGGAGACGGGGCCATTGTCGGGGTCGGGCTAGGAGCCGGGGTCGGGGCCGGTGATGGGGCCACTGTTGGAGCCGGGGTCGGGGCCGGAGACGGGGCCATTGTCGGGGTCGGGCTAGGAGCCGGAGTCGGGGCCGGTGATGGGGCCATTGTCGGGGTCGGGCTAGGAGCCGGGGTCGGGGCCGGTGATGGGGCCATTGTCGGGGTCGGGCTAGGAGCCGGGGTCGGGGCCGGTGATGGGGCCACTGTTGGAGCCGGAGTCGGGGCCGGTGATGGGGCCATTGTCGGGGTCGGGCTAGGAGCCGGGGTCGGGGCCGGTGATGGGGCCATTGTCGGGGTCGGGCTAGGAGCCGGGGTCGGGGACGGGAACGGAGCCGGGACCGGAGCTGGTGATGGGGCCATTGTCGGGGTCGGGCTAGGAGCCGGGGTCGGGGCCGGGACCGGAGCTGGTGTCGGGGCCGGGGACGGGGCTGGGACCGGAGCCGGTGACGGGGCCATTGTCGGGGACGGGACGGTACCCGTGGAACTCTGGCCATCGACACAGTGGCCAAGCAAGGCCGGAAGAAGGAAGAAGGCGAGAAACAGAGTGCAACAACCTGTTGACAACGTCGTCATAATGCACGGTTGGTGTGCTCGGACGGAACAAGTACGGACGCGGTTGAAGGAGAGGTGGGGGGGGGGGGGTGGGGGGGGGAGGGAGGAGACACAGACACT